TGTGGATCTTTGTTAACAAGTAACCTTAGATGTTTCTACCCCTATTTCAGTAGAAATATGCTGTACAGTTTTAAAAAAACACAACTTAAAGTAGATACCAAAACATTATTTGGGGGTAAATTGTGTTGGATTTCATAACACATTCTTTGAAAGACAATAAATGTTATGAAACCCTGCAAATTTGTTCCTTAATTAATACCAAATGGCAATTAATGACTCACTTTTTGCTGTGTCTCATCTCAATCCCAGCTACCATCTTTGAATAACTTTGTTTCCTTTTCAATGCAATGCAAATGCTAATTTTTCACATCAAACTGTGCCCACATCTTTGTAGCATCATGTATCTGTATGCCATCATATTGTGGTACGCTGCTTCTTTAAGATGCTGTTCTGTGTAAAACTTGACAAATTCAGTAGCTTTCACTAATTTTAACAGATAAAATGGTACACCATATCTCCACTTATACAAAAGAATTTTGTATAAAGTTATAAAGTTGTTCCACAATGGAATTTCCAGACATTAAGATTGTTCCACCATCTGTGAATGTCTCCATTATTTAAAATTCTGTACAGTTGTGGAACAGTGAAAAATGTAATTAAAAAATGTAATTTTCCTTTATTGGATGTGCAGGAACCTTCACTAGGAAGTTAGGCCAGTATCAAAAACACAGGAGGTCTTGGTGTCCGAAGGACTTGAGAAAAGGTTGCAGTCAACTTCTAATAATTCATCACTAAAAGGCAAAAAGGCTCAATGACGAGTTAGCCGTAGTAGCAAATTTTAAGCATAATATATATACACACACACACAAATGTGGGCCAGGACATTGACAGTATGATTTAAGTGGTAGTGACAATCCAAGGTTGAATTATTAGGGAGTTTCCACAAGTGGAAACATCTTCCCTAGGTCTACCCTATCAAAACCTTTCATAATTTTAAAGACCTCTATCAGGCCATCCCTTACAAGTGAAAAAAGTTCAAGCGTGTTCAGCCTTTCCTGATAGGTATAACGTAATTTTCTATACCTATCAGGATAGGGGTGATCAAGTTGATCATAGTTCTGTGATCATTCTTGTGAATCTCCTTTGCACATGGTTTATTTTATCGCTGTACTCATAGAAAAATATAGACTTTGCAGTCAAGTCAAAATAGCAATTTTGGTGATTTGCGCAATTTGTATCATTTCAAGCACATTGATGCTCCCTTGTTTTAATATGGAGCAAAAATAGATACAATTTTATAGATACATTAAAAGTCCCTTGGTTTAATATGTAGCTGCATAGATACAAATTGCATCTATTAAATCTATTGTATCTATTCACAATGTATATTAAAAGTACTGTGATTTACTGTCCTGTAGTGCTCAAGGAAATAAGTTGGAAAGTCCTGAGGAGAGGCTCCGTGCAGAGGCACTTTGAGTAGATTGCTTCTCGGTTGTTTATTTGCATCTTAGAGGTGACCTAGCTGTGAGCCTGTGGACAGTCAGCTGCATGAGAAACATCAAAAGCCATTGGCCAAGCAAAAATACATCTGTTGAGTAGAGGCAGTGAGCGTTTATGATACTGGTGAGGCAGTGGCAATGATGCTATCGTCTGGGATGGGTGAAATTGAGGAGTGGATAAAGTATGAGGCACAAGGACCTCAGGGCAGGAAGGCTTGAGAAGTGGAGCCTGTGCTTACATTAATAATAATAATCCTTGCAATTGATATAGCGCTTTTCACGTCTCCTAGACATCTTAAAGCGCTTCACAGAATATAAAGTGAATTGACCGTATATTTGCGGGCGAACGCGGCAGTCAATTGCGCACAGCAGTGTCCCACAAACAGTCATGAATTGAAAATGACCAATTTATTATTGTTTTTGTTTTGGAGGGATTATTATTAGACGTGTGGAGTAAGGAAACTTGCCCAAGGTTTCCTCCTGCCTGGAATTGAACCTAGGTGTCTCGCTTGCAAGGCGAGTGCTCTAACCACTGAGCTGCAGTGGTGTTGACGTCCCCATGACTCTCTTGTTGGGGCCAAGCTAAGGGTGGAGACCCTAGCCTGAACAGGCAGCATGAGACAGAGGCCACATAGCTGGTCCCAGGTTGGCCAATGCAGGGGCGGGGGTGCAAGTGTGCATATTTGTAAGAGAGGTGGTAGGTACAGCTCACAAGCTCAAGTCTTGCTTGAGCTTGTGGGCTGTACGTGGCACTTGAGCCTCTCCTGGTGTTCTGGCTAACAATGCCCCAGATAAAAATGTAATTGACAGCTGGGCTTTCAGCCTATCTACCCCACTCTCTGGAAGTTCATCCCAGAGTCCCTCTGACCTCATTCCATGTTCCATCTCGAGACCTACCTCTTTGATCTTGTTCGTTCCTCCCTTGAGACATCCTCCCAACTTGAAAGGTGTTGTGTAAATGCTAAAATAAATGTATTCCCAACATTGCAGCCTACTATGGACTTACCTGAGTTCCACAGTGGAGTACAGACAGCAATGAAGGTCCTTACAGGCCACATTTCAGGATATAATCCTTAACCAATTCAGTGTACACGAAACTGAACTGTACTGAAACTGTACTGCACTGAAAGAGAAAGGCTGAAGCTCCAGTTGTGAAAAAATCATCTATTTGATCATGCAGGAGGAAACAAAATAGTCCAGTGAAAAAAAGTTAAAAAAGTTTCTTTTTGTTCTGCTCATCATACCTACATCTGTGTACATAAAATTAAGTTTGGTTTTGAACCACCTCTCATCCAAATTTCTGATGCTACAGGTATTCCAACTTCCGCAAAATGATTTTTTCAGCATTATAGATCTTGAGCTAAAATGTATAGAATAAGCTCATCCATATAGCCAGAAGCTACTCGCACAAGATCAAAGGTCTTAAAATCAAAATGTGATACTTTATTGATATAATTTAAGGCACAAAACATGCAAATGTTACAAAGTTTAGTACTTTAGTACTAAAGTCGGGTGATTTAAAAAAACGTTACCCAAATTTAAATTTTTAAAATCCAAATTTGTCAATTTGTTTCAGCAACCATGACTGAAATGCAGTGAAACACCCAAAAATATTTAATGGCTCTTATTCACAATTTAACATTTTGTTGGTTATTCTCTTATTGTTGGTACCAATCTATGAGTGTACACTCATAATTAAACTTTCCAATAAAAGATGTTCAGTATCAAGTCAGTAACTGTTCTAATAATCCTTATATTTGATAGCATTTTGAGAAATCCCAGAGTTGTTCACAGGATTTACTGTAGAGTGTAATGATTGTATTTTGTAAGCAACCAACTATTTTACAAAGAAGGGACTCATATCCTTTAACAAAACACCAAAATTATATTTGTACAGTTTAAGGTAGCTTGCCAAGAAAGCCTCTTTTTTATGGAAGAAAGGTCGAAAAGAAAGGTCTTTAGCAGAGACCTGAAAATAGGAAGAGAGGGGCGAGGCGAAGGGAGTGGGGAAGAGAGTTTCAGAGCCGTGGGGCATAGTGGCTGAAGGCACGGCCGCCGATCGTGTAGCGGAGAATTCAGGGGACAAGGAGGAGGCCAGACTCGGTGGAGCGAAGGCAACAGGCACTGTTGAGAGGAGGTCAGAGAGTTAGGGGAGTGCAGAGGAGTAGAGGGATTTGAAGACAAGAGTGAGGATCTTGAAATCGATCCTCTCTGGGACAGGCAGCCAGTGCAGTCTGGCAAGGACTGGGGTAATCGGGGAGCGGAGCTGGATGCGGGTAAGAATGTGGGCGGCAGAGCTTTGAATGACCTGAATTTCATGAATGGGAGTGGAGGGGAGACCGGCGAGGAGGGCATTTGAATAGTCCAGCTGACACTGGACTCTGGAACTCCCTTCCTCACGCCTTTGCTCACCTTCCTCCCCCTCACTCGGCCCTGCGATCCGTTACTGTGAAGCGTTCTGAGATGCAGTCTGGCGTGTAGGGCGCTATATAAATCGACGTTGTTATTGAGGTGGATTTTGATACCAGAGTCCTAAAATCCTATTTACATTAGACTATTTTGTCTGAAAACTTTATACTGCACAGAATTGTGGAAAATTCTTAAATGCATTCTGAATCTGAAAGTTGTTTTTCAGCAGTTCTTATATATTGACGAATTGAAGAATTTTCCACAATTCTGCACAATTGTAAATTTTAAGACTTTTTTTTAACAACAACATTACATTTGTATAGCACCTTTCATGTCGGGAGGACGTCCCAAGACGCTGGACAGTCAGGTTTCAGATCCGAGCTGCGGGTCGGGATTGGGGAGGGTGGAGAAGCATGGTGATCGAAAGCATGGTCGAAGAGAAGGGTCTTGAGATAGGTCTTGAAGGAGGCATGGGAGGAAGATGGAGAGACTGCGGAATGGAGTTCCAGAGATGGGGGCAGAGTGCAGAAGGCCCCACCCCACCCACCAATGGTGGGGTGGGCGATTCGGGGGACGTGAAGCAGGCCAAGCCCACTGAGCAGACCGCACGGGCAGGATGGTAGGGGGCTAGGAGGTTGCAGAGGTAGGTGGGAGCAAGACCATGGAGGGCTTGGAAGGTGAGGACCAGGATCTTGAACTGTATCCTCTGTGTGATGGGAAGCCAGTGGAGTCGGGTGAGGGTGCGGTTGATAGGGTCACAGTTCCTGGTGCGGGAGAGCTCACGGGCTGCAGAGTTCTGGATGATCTGCAGCCTATGGAGGGAGGAGTTGGGGAGGCCAACAAGCAGGGAGTTTGCATAGTCAAGCCTCAATGTAACGAACATGTGTATGAGGGTTTCGGCGACCTGCGTTGTGAGACAGTGTCGGAGCCGGTCAATGTTGCTGACATGAGGGAAAGCAGAGCGGGTCATGGAAAGGGATGTGGGGTGGAAAGGTGAGTATGATGGATTCTATGCAAGAAAAAGTTCTAACTGCATCAACATGTGAATCAGTTTACTCTTCAATACAAAGAATTAAGATTTCACCCACAAAATATAGACAATTTACTGAACGGTATATTCTGTGAAATGCTTTGAGGCATCTCAGCGACGTGATAAAAGATATCAAATGCAAGGATTATTATTATTGACCTATATTCCCCATCAGTAAGAAACAAAAATACATCCTGGATATCCGCCGTTAAAGAGCTGAACGTAAAATCATTCCTTTACATGGACTTTATATCTGACTGTGCACAGGATTGCAGGCAGACAGATGATCGTGTGTCTCGCCTGAAAGTCATTTCAATGATGCACCTCTGCAGTCCCTCGTCAATAACTTGCACGGTTCTGGCGTGGAAAACCTTTCGCTCCTCCACGAAGCTCTGGTACAAGCGAGCGCCGCCGCCCACCCCAAAGTAATGGCTCTTGGTGGCCAGATAAACGGTGCCCGTGTCGGCCAGTAACCCCGACAGCACGGCGTGTAAAGCGCCATAGTACTGGGGGTTGTAAACTGTCTCGGAGGTCAGGATAAGGTCGTACCTCAGAGCGCCGCCGAGGCGGGCGAGCATCTCACGGCCGAACTGTCTCCACTCCCCCGAGAAGAACCTGCACCTGGAGAGAGTCCCGGGTTCAGAGCCTCGCTCCCCCGCCTTCCTCCTCTTGTGAGGCCGCTCAACCCCTTCCTCCTCCGGGGGTACCCGGGCCTCCTCCTCCCCCTCCTCCTCCTCCTTGCCGGCGTCCCCTGATGCTAGCTCGGCCTCCTCCTCCTCCTCCTCCCCCCCCGAGGGTGTCCAAGGGCCGGTGCCCGAATTGAGCAGGGCGTTGGGCAGGGTCACCCTCTCGATCACGCCGCTGTTATAGTCCTGGAAGTGCACCTCGCGGGCTCCAGCCCTGAGCGCCAGGAGGCCCAGCAGACCGGCCCCGCAGCCCAGGTCCAGCACCCGCTTGCCGGTGAAGTCCACCCGCCGCCCGGCCAGGTAGCTGAGCAGGTCCAGCGTGCACTCCCACACCTTCATACCGCCCTCGTACACGCCGCTCACCAGGTCCGAGCCTGAGCCCGGGGCCGCCTCTCGGTCGCCATCCTGCCGCTCCCCGAAGCCCATTTCCACCGTGGCCGAGCTGACGTGCCTCAGGCCGGGCAGCGCCTCCAGCTCCAGCCTCTCCACCACCGACCTCTCCAGTAGCCGCTCCGCTCCTCGGGAGGCCGGTGCTCCTTAAACGGAGGAGGAGGCGGTTGCGCGGCCGAGACCGACACAGCCCGAGCTCCTCCGAGTGACTCAGCCTCACTCCGCCCGTCGCCGAGACCCGCGGTGTCCCGAGGAGCGCGAGCGGCTCCCGAGCTCCGACCGTTACTGACATCAAAATTAAACTTAAACTCCATCCGCGCGCCGCCACAGCAACCGCCGCTCCCCGCGGCGTGACGTCAGGAGGAGGCGGGGTCTGGGCGGACAGGGATGGGACACGCGGGGTCAGTGGGCGGGTAAACAAGGAGTGGGTGTGCGGGGTCGGGGGGGGTGTGCGGGGTCGGGGGGGGGGTGCGGGGTCGGGGGGGGGGGTGCGGGGTCGGGGGGGGGGGGTGTGCGGTGTCGGTGGGGGGGAGTGGGTATGCGGGGTCGGGGGGGGGGGGGGGGGGGGGGAGTGGGTGTGCGGGTCGGGGGGGGGGGGGGGGGGGGGGGGAGTGGGTGTGCGGGGTCGGGGGGGGGAGTGGTGTGCGGGTCGGGGGGGGGGGGAGTGGGTGTGCGGGGTCGGGGGGGGGGGAGTGGGTGTGCGGGATCGGGGGGGGAGGAGTGGGTGTGCGGGGTCTGGTGTGCGGGGTCTTGGGGGCGCAGGATAAGCAGTCAGAAAGAGGGGTTTGAGGTCTGGGGGGGATAAACAGTCAGAAAAGGGTAAGGAATGTCTGGGTTGGGGGAGGGAGTAGGGTCTCTGGGAAAAGGAGATGGTAGATGGGGTCTGTATTGGGGATGTCCTGTGGGGGGGGGGGGGGGAAACTGAACATGGACTCTTGGGCGGAGGTTGAATTTCTTCATACTCCAATAGCCCTCCCTCTGCCTCACCCACAACGTTGGCGAAATCCTCATTCGTGCCCTCATCACTACCAGAGTCAAATTCTCACATTACAGCATCTCCACCATCCACAAGCACGAGCTCATCCTCTACCTCCCGCCTCACAAAACTTCATACCCCCAAAACTCCTGCCCTCGCCGGGGTCCACTGGCTCTCAACAGATATCTATCTCTCTGATCTTCTCAAGCCTCCCTCCTCCGCGCGCCTCCTCCTTTTAGCAAACGCTGCACTGCCCCCTTCCCCTATCGCCGTCAGCCATGTACCCCCACCCTTTCAAGTGTGACGAGTTACATGTTAATCGGAGTGACAAGTAAAGTGATGTCCTTTATTAACAGTTTATATGGGAAGCAGGATTTTGACAACATGCCTAGTTAAGTGATAGTGGCGAGTAAGCCAGTGTCGAGTTATCTGGAGCTTACTGTATATAGTGTATATGGTGAACAGTAGCAGTCCTGACACAAATCCCTGCAGAGCACAATTTCTTACCTCTTGTGAGCCTGAGAAAATGCCTTAACTCCTATCCTTTGCTTTTCTAACCATTCTTTAATTCATTCTGTCACCTCTCTCATGACTCCACGTGTCCTGATTTTGGACACGAGTCTCTCTTCAGCAATTTATCAAAGGCCTTGGAAATCCAAATATACTACGTTCACTGAACTTGTCTACTTCATCTGTTCATGTCTTCAAAGAATTTGATAAGAATGGTCAAGCATGACCTTCCTTTTGTAAATCCATGCTGCCTGCTCTTAATTATTCTCTGAGATGACTTATTACTTTATCTTACTTAATTATATGTTTAATTATTCACCATTGTCAATCATTAGATAATGTGCCTTTTCTGTCAGTGATTCTAATACCCACCTACATGATGCAACCTGCTTTAATAGGTGGGTACAATTTACAGGTTTCTAAGTATCTTTGTGATAATTAGTTCTGCCTGATAAATGCAAGGATTATTAAGTTCCTTCAAGTCATCACATTGGCAGAATTTATGTTAATTTGGTATTTAGCATTAAAAGACCACAAGAGGGCAGCACCCCAATCCTGGCGTTATTTCTACTGTAACAAATTAATCAATCTCCACCATTTTGAGTTTGAAGTGCCTTTTTAATTTAAATTGTAGCCATTGAAACAGCTTTTAACGTAATGTTTTTGTTTAATATTTACTTTCCAGCTGTGATCTGGTGAAGAAGAGTGAAATCTGCATTCTCCTGGGTACAGACAAGCATTTCCTGATTGTGTCCAAAGTCTCCATTTGGGCATGGTGATGATTTATCACATTGTACCTTTACAATCCTCTACATTTACCCCTTGTGAAACACTGCTGTGAGCAATTGACTGCCAAGTTTCGCCCACAAAATATACAGTCAGTTCATTTTACAGTATATGCTGTGAAATGCTTTGAGACAACAACAACAAAATTACATTTGTTTATCGCCTTCCATGTCGGGAGGGTGTCCCAAGATGCTGGACAGACAGGGTTACGGACCCGAGCTGATGGTTGGGGTGGGGGAGGTTGAAGGGCAGGCGATGAAGCAGGGAGATCGAAAGCACGGTCGAAGAGGAGGGTCTTGAGGTGGGTGAGACGTGTCAACGGCATGTTAAAATGCTATATCAAATGCAAGGACTATTATTGTATTTCAGAGATAAGATGTTCAAATTGAAGGTACTAATTAAATAGGAAATGAGCGATAGCTACCTTGATTACCTGAAGCTCACTGATTCAAATTCTGATGCTGAGTTTGCTGGGGCTAAACTAGCCCTGGCTTTCCCTTGACTAAGACAAGGCTCAACATGAACAATGACTAGAAGGCTACCAGAGAGCAACCAGCACCCATGGAACCATGCCCCAGCAAGAAGAGGTTGGGGACCAGGAGCAATGATATATGCCAATGGGGAGAAACCTAACTGGAAACACATTTTTTTAAACAAAACACAAAATACTGCAGATGCTGGAAATCTGAAACAAAAACAGAAGTTGCTGGGAACACTTGGCAAGTCAGGCAGCATCTATGGAGAAAAAGATGCTCCATAGATGCTGCCTGACCCTTTTTTTTTCAAGTTTGGGGGTTTAAAGACAATAGTGAAGTAAAGAGGTAAGACGATTCCCTGCTACGTGCTCAATTAAGAGATATTTGTAGACAGAGTTAAATAGTAAAACACCACATTTTAAGTGATGTGAACAATGGCGAATAGCAATTTATCTGTTCAAGCTCATCGCACATCTGAAACTTGCCAAGGATAAGAACAAATTCCAAACCATTTGAATATTACGTACAGATGAAGCCTCAGAAAAGCTGGTCTTCGCTGAGTTGTTACTGGCAACCGACACTACTCTGATGCACTCCAACTAGAAGGTTTCAGAGCAAAGTTCTTGACGGTCAGTGACGTACATCTGGTTAACTGTGAAGACCGCATTTTTGAATCTCATTGTTCCCATTCATTCCAAAGTCCCCTTTAGCAAACACATCAACCATTTATTACCTTTTCACATGCAGTGAGTTGTTTCTAGTTACCATTTATTTCCTCTTGCATACTTCTTTTGTTTACTTAGTTTGTCTTTGAACCAAGGAGTGCCGACGATAATAATAACAATCCTTGCCTTTGTTATAGTGCTTTTCAAGTCTTCTAGACGTCTCAAAGCGCTTCACAGAATAGCCTGTAAAGTGAATTGACTGTATATTTGTGGGTGAACTGCGGCAGCCAATTGCGCACAGCAATGTCCCATAAACAGTCATGGATTGAAATGACCAATTTATTATTTTTTTGAGGGATTATCATGTGGAGTGCGGAAACTTGCCCAAGATTTCACTCTGCCGGGAATTGAACCCAGGTCTCTCACTTGCAAAGCAAGTGCTCTAACCACTGAGCTACAGGACTCCACGATGATTGTGACTAGTGATATGGCTTTGGAAATTCACTGCTGTAGTACAATCAATCTATTCTAATGGTAAAATGTTTCATAATTTATATAATCTTGCTACTTTCATATTTATCACATTGTTTCTGTATTGAAATGTTGGAAATGATGGGCAAATTTGCTTATTCTCCACGCCTCTGTTTACCTTGCAGTAAGTAGGAACCCAGTTGTTAGTTGATTGGCAGATTGCTTTTCCGGGGATAATAATCCTTTAAAAAAATAATAATTTGGTCACTCAATCAACAACTGTTTGTGGGATACTGCTGTGTGCAATTGCCTGCCACATTTTGCCCACAATATACAGTCAATTCACTTTAGAGTATATTCTGTGAAGTGCTTTGAGACATCTCGAAGACGTGAAAAGCGCTATATCAAATGCACGGATTATTATTGTTACGATTTCTTTCTTGAATATTGTGGCAACTCTTGGTATATCCATGTCTCCAAATAAAATAACAGGATGGGGGTGACCGAGCAGTTGAATACATTTCAGCTTGGGTTTCAAGTCAGTTTACATCTCAGTGGCTTAAAGTAACTTTGCATATTGTTCTCATGAAGGATCTAATTGTTCGTACTGTCAACATTCACACCTACAATCTCACAGAGGTGGAACCATGTCTATTTTAGTGATTTTAAAGCATCTATAGTGAGAGCGGTGTCACTAACAGGGTATAAGAAATGGGTTCCAAATACTTGTGCTGGGAAGAAAGCACGTTCTTTTTGAGAGCGAGAGATCTACTTACATTTGTGAGAGATAATATTTTTGAATTGCAACAACATAACAGAATGGAGATATTAAAAGGAGAAGATAATCCTTGCATTTAATATAGAGCTTTATCACGTCTTCGAGACGTCTCAGAGCACTTCAAAGAATACCATAGAATCATAGAATTATACAGCATCAAAAAGAGCAGTGTTCTGACCAAAAACCCTCCCCCTATCCCTGTCCCAATTGTCGCCCTTCATTTAGGCCCACATATAATGCCTCACTCATTAGAACACACTGCCTCTTTGGGACCACTGCCTTTAAAATTTACATTTGCACAAATATGGGGAGAATTCTTGCATTGAGTCTATTTGGAAACAATGTTCCACAGAGGCCAACAAATCCCCCAAATAAAATTGGTCACTCACTCCATCACTGGCTGCCGCATTTTGCCCACAAAATACACAATTACTCCATTTTACAGTATATCCTGTGAAGCGCTTTGAGACGTCTCGATGGCGTGATAAGGCGCTATATCAAATGTAAGGATTACTATTATAAAAATCTCCTAAATAAACTTGGTCATTCACTTCATTGCTGTTTGGGGTCATTGATGTGTGCAAATGGGCTGTTGCGTTCGCCTACAGATACAATCACTATGCTTCACAGTAAAATTCTGTGAAGCCTTTCGAGCCATCTCGGCAAAGTGATAAAGTGCTATATCAAATGTAAGGTCTATTAAATATTATTATTTTTACTCCATTGGAATATCAGCCTAGACTGCGAGCTCAAGACCGCACTTGCACTGCAGGCTTACGTTTGATGCTACGGAAAATATGAATGAGAACCTACTCTATGCAGCAGACAATGCACAAGCAGTGCTATCATTGAGTGTCCTGAAGCCACCAATTTTTCCAAGGGAGGCAAACAAAGCAACAGTACAAAAAAGACATTAATCTGTAGGATTAACCAATTATGGACACAATGCAGGGCTCACCATCCCTCTGATCCAGCAGGACTCCCCCCCCCCCCCCCCCCTCTGCTCCCTCAAATCACAACCCCATGCACCCAAACGTGGACGGCACAAAACCAACCTTGGGTACATCACCAAATCTGGCGCAGCCACTTCTGAAACTACTGCCTCTTCCTCTCTGAAGCTGAAACCTTTGCGCGCTGTCACTTCTTACCTGGTCATCTAATAGGCAATGCAATTACACAGCGCCTTTCGCGTCAGGGGGACATCCCAAGGCGCTTAACAATAATGGCTTGAGGAGAGCGGGGAGTCAACATGCAATGCACCTCAGTGCAGGGGGGGGGGGGTACAGTCGGAGTTTCATTCTGTTTAGCATTCTTTTGTGGAGTCCTGTAGCTCAGTGGTTAGAGCACTCGCTTTGCAAGCGAGAGACCTGAGTTCAATTCCAGGCAGAGGGCGAAACCTTGGGCAAGTTTCCTTACTCCACACAGAGCCTAATAATAATCCCTCCAAAACCAAAAACAATAATAAATTGGTCATTTTCAATCTACGACTGTTTGTGGGACATTGCTGTGCGCAATTGGCTGCCGCGTTCGCCCACAAATATACAGTCAATTCACTTTACAGTGTACTCTGTGAAGCGCTTTGGGACGTCCTCCCGACGTGAAAAGCGCTATATCAAATGCAAGGATTATTATTATTATTATTATTATTATTATTATTATTATTATTATTATTAAAAGTCTCACTTTTCCCGTATTAGTCTCCAAAAAAAAGAGGGTTAATTGATTGGCCCGGATCAGGGTGGATTGCGTGCGCTCGGCTCTGCTCTGCTGCGGCTCCGCCTGTCCGCGCAGTGCGAAGGGTTTGGTCTGTGTGTGGATCGCAGTGCGCGCTGACACGCAGCTCAGCGACAAGGCCACCGGGAGCACAGCACGACTGGAAACGGTAAGCTTTCGGATAACTTGTAACCACACCGCAGAGGGGATTCACGGGGTTATTCTGCAAATGTTTAATCCGACCCCAGGAAACTGCAATCGCGTTTTATCCTCATCCCCATTTTAGTGCTCTGCCTGGCCTGCACCCTCCTGCAGCAGCAGCAGCAGCAGGAGGAGGAGGAGGAGGAGGTGGAAAGATATTATATATATTTTCCAGCATCTGCAGTACTTTGCCTTTCGGAGGAAAGATATTGTTGCACTTTGAGACGCTGCTGGGGTTCAAGTGATTTTGCATCGGACCAAATGCAGATTTCTAACGCTCGTAACTTCTGTTTACTGCGCTGTGTTACTGTGCGAACTTCCTGGCCAATTTGGCCAATTTCTGGAGTACACCCATCAAAGGCACAGGGAGGTTTCTTTCTGCTTAATTCCTCTCCCTGGTTCTGCTGAGCTGAAGCCCAGGTTACAGAAGTGATTGCCCTGCAGACAGGATATGACTGATCTGTCGGCAAGAGTCAGCAGCAGCTGGGGCTGTGTTGGAAGGAGGTGCAGTTGCCAGTTTATGGAGGTTTGTGTTAGCAGATCCAGTTCCTGAAAAAGCCCTTTTTTTTAAAAAAAAGGCAACACTTCATAAGTGTGTGCTAGCCTGGCTCAGTGGTAGCACTCTCACCTCTGACTCGACCCAAACCTCTGGTTGTGGGTTCAAGGTCCACATCAGGAATTGGGATCACATAGTCTAAGATGAAACTCCGATGTAGCCCTGGGGCTGGGCTGCATTGTTGAAGGCGCCTTCGGATGAGAAGTTTACCTGTGGTCCCGTCTGCCTGTTCAGGTGGATGTTAAAGATTCTGTGGCACTATTCAAAAAGAGAAGGGAGTTTCTCTGTCCTGGTATCATAGAATTATACAGCACAGAAGGAGGCCATTCGGCCCATTGCGTCTGTGCCGGTTCTTTGAAAAGAGCTATCTAAAGCAATCCCACTGCCCCGTGCATTCATTTTTTTTGCATTCACTTTTCTCTGTAATTTTCCTCTATAAAGAGTCAATTTGTTCAGTGGATCAGCACTGCTTTAAGTGATCCATGATGGATTACATTCATTATGGCACTCACCAACACTATACACAGTTGCTACACTTTACAGTAAATCCCATGAAGTACTTTGGAATGTCTTGACGTGAAAGGTACTATTATCAGATGTAAGGTAGAGTAAGTCTCTACTTTTCATTTGCCACAGTTTTGGAGAACATTGCATTGGAGAGCAAACATAGTAATATTTCACAAACATAATTCATGTATCAGCTAAGGCAGGATGGTCCAAACGTTTTGGCTGCTGAGGGCCATATGCCCTATTCGAGAAACGTCCGCAGGCTGCATAAGCAATAAATTTGTGTTTCCCTTCCAGAAACGTAACATAACATTTACAGGTTATTGGGCCAAATGAAATGGGGGGGTGGGGCATGGATGAAATTGGTCCAGCGATTAGATTTGTATGCAAGCAAGCAGGCATATTCTGTCTATTGGCAAGCAATTGTCACTGCCAGCAGGCAAAATATATTTGGTTCAAAAAGTTTGTGCCTATTCAGCTAAACCAAGCCCATTGTGCTGAGGCTGAGGTCAAACTAATCAATGTAATCAGACAATGAAGTATGTACTCATTGGTTATTGATTACTGCAGAAATTTTCTGTTGCATTTGCCAACCAATATACAGTCAGCACACTTTACAATAAAATCTTGTGAAGTGCTTTTGAGTTGCTTTGGCAATGATAAGGCACTGCATCAAATACAAGGGTTATTATAATAGGTTCAGTACCAATTAGTGTCTAGTGACTAGAGGATTTGCAAGATGTCAAGTTTAGTACTCTGTTTTGCAACTCTACAAGAAAAGTGAAACAGCACAAGTTACATTTATATTACACCTTTCACATCGGTAGATGAAGCGCCTTAGGACATCCTCCCGATGTGAAAGGCACAATACAAATTAAATTTTGTATTGTAGTATCTAATCATTTATAAAATACAATACAACACAAATATAATTTATATATCCTCCTCACCGGCCTTCCCAACTCCTCGCTTCACAAGCTGCAGATCATCCAAAACTTTGCAGTTTGTGTACTCTCACGCACCAGGCTCTGTGACCCCATCACTCCCACCCTCGCCCGACTCCACTCGCTCCCCATCCCCCAGAGGATCAAGTTCAAGATCCTCATCTTTAAGGCCATCCATGGCCTTCCCCCCTCCTACCTCTCTGACCTGCTGACTCCCTACCAACCTGCCCGCTCCCTCCGTTCATTGGGCTCTGGCCTGCTCCATGTCTTCCGACCGATCCGTCCTACCACTGGTGACCGGGCTTTCAGCCTCTCTGCCCCCACACTCTGGAACTCCATCCCACGGTCCCTTTGCCTCGCTTCCTCCCTTGCCTCCTTCAATGCCGGTCTCAAGACCCTTCTCTTCGACCGTGCTTTTGGTCTCCCTCCCACCTCTCTGCTTTCCCTCACCCCTACACCACACCTCCCCCATTCTCGGGTCCCGACACCTGACTGTTCAGCGCTTTGGGACGTCCTCCCGACGTGAAAGGCCCTCTATAAATGTAATTTTGTTGTCTTTTACATCGGGAGGACATCTCAAAATGCTTTACACTGTTGGCTAGACACTGTTGACAATTTGCTTTGCAGTAGTCTTAAATAATTGATGTCAGAAGACAGGTTAGCTTTGAACTGATGTTGTAATTAATGAACCAAGTACAAATCCTTGTTGGAGTTAATAATAATCCTTACATTTGATGTAGCACCCAAACATGTTGACAAAACATCTCAAATTGCTTTACAGGATTGTTACTATACTCTTTCACATGTTAGACACTTGGCTGACCAAAAAAAAGGTAACAGTCTGACCCCAATGTGTGAAGTGTTAAAGGGTATCATTGTGACTTTAAGTGCTTATGGGATAAGAAGAGAAGTGTAAAAGAAAACTTGTACTGTGTATAACTTTTCAGCTTTTGTAATTGTACAAGAATGTTTTGTCAGCTGGGTATCTGACACATGTGGTGACCCATTACCATGCTTAAGCCTCATACACATCTTCGTCACCTCCTGCCTCAACTACTCCAATGCCTTCGGTCATTCCACTGGTCTCACCAGCTCCAGTACCTACAAACTGATTCAGTACTCCGCCATCTTTATTCTCATCCACACTAAACTCACGACTAAAGACCTTTCTCTTGTCCAGCTAGGACCACCCTACCCGTTAGGGATTTGGCTTGCAGGATTAACAGGAGCTGAGTGTGATGATTTCTGGTCCCCAGTGACTGCTCTGCCCTTCCAAACCCTGCCAATGAGCTGTGCTCTCATCAATACCACAGCCCTGCCTGGCTCAGAAACCGGACTACTGAGACCACCACAAGGGGCTGGATCATTTGCAACATGTCACCTTGGAGCCAGTTCTGCCCGCTTACCTCCCGCAACAATGCTAGTTGCTTGTTTGACAGGAAACAAGTGTGGGTTTGAGCCCTCACTATGTGGCTGGTAATTACCAGGAACTCTCTGCAAGCATGAAATGGGTGAGAGAATTGCCACCATCTTCCTGTCTGCAGCTCAGGCACACGTCCCTTTGCATTGAGTGATGGTTTCACCAATTGGAGGTGCAGAGTTTAAGCAGCAGATTGACCTCTCTGCAGGCCAATCGAGGTAGATTCCCGGTGCTGAATGTGTGTTCAAGAACTCGGTCTCCAAGTAATGCCTTCCAACAGTTGTTGCCCCAAGCCTCAGAGTTGTTTTATTGAAGTGTTTCAATAAGATGTTTTATTGAAGTGTGTTTCTTCCTCCCTGGATAATGTATTTTGTTTTCTTGTTCTGCATTTTACAGATTAACAGATGGCACAGTGTGTGACTAAAGTAGAGCTGAGTATCACCTGCGACAATCTGCTGGATAGAGATGTTGGGTCAAAGTCTGATCCATTGTGTGTGTTCTTGATAAGCACTGGTGAAAAACAATGGATTGAGGTAGGGAACTACCCATTGATATATGGCAAGTTTCACAAAAATATTTACCAGTAATGATTTTCCCTTCCCTTTCCTCAGCTTCCCCATTCCCTCATCTCACTCCCCTCCCTCCACTCCACCCCCTTCTTTTAATGTTACAGAGCATATTTAAAAATACTACTTAGCATTTGTGTACTAGTGGTCACTGTTTAGTTTTTTTTTGCAACTTCACAACGTGCACTTTCACTGCTCCATTCCCAAAACTCAGCAATTTTCTTTGGTCAACTCAAGCAACCCAGAATTCTGGCATTGCTTCACCCCACCCCCACCCCACATACACATGTTATATTCTTAATTAATTGTCTTGCCATTTTGTTTACAGAATATATTTTGTGGTTAAAATCATTTAACAGACACAGAATTAGAATAAGCCTATTCAAAGCTTTATGAACTTCCTGGTGTTAATTCAGCTCAAGTCATTTTTGGGGCTGAGTAAGTTCCATCTCATTCCTAGATAATTGTATGAACACTGTTTTAAAAAAGAAACATTTATTAAAGTTAATCTCTGGACCAGTTTTAGAAATGTTCTGTTCCAGATTTGGGGAAATTACCATGCATAGGAGACATATATACATGGAACTAACTCTCACTCTGGTTTGGATACTCTTAAACATGATGATGGATTTTTGCATGTGTCAGACACCGAGTGTTAGTGGTACACATTGAATATAAACATCCATTTTAAGTGTGAGTTTATGAATAGCTCAGAATGCATTGTATCATTGCATTGTGTTCTCATTATTTTAGAAATTATTCTTGATTCCAGATATATTTATCAGACGAGACATTTGTTTTGTTGCAGATTGATCGCACAGAAAGAGTTGAAAATTGCTTGTCTCCGAAATTCTCCAAGAAGTTCCTGGTAGATTATTATTTTGAGCAGGTTCAAAAATTGAAGCTTGCAATTTATGATATTGACAATAAAACCATTGACTTGAATGATGATGATTTCCTGGGAGAATTTGAATGCACTCTGGGGCAGGTAAGCACAAATATTTCCTTTTTGGACCAAAAATACTCTGTGTATACTCTTGCAGTCTTGTTTTATTTATGTATTACAGGAATTTTCAATGCTAGCTCAATTATAAAATATTTTTCATTATGGTGCAATAGACTTTTTTAATATAAAGAGATGAAGCAAGTTTAACCTTTTTTGGTATTCAGATACTACAATATTATAATTTTCAGTCTAACTTGTGTGAGATTCCCCTATACTATGAACTGGAATAATGTATTAACTGATAGTATTGCCCATAAAATATACGGTCAATTCACGTTACAGTATATTCTGTGAAGTGCTTTGAGATGTCTTGAAGATGTGATAATAATAATAATAATACTTGCATTTGATATAGCGCTTTCCACGTCGGGAGGACGTCCCAAAGTGCTTCACAGAACACACTGTAAAGTATATTTGTATATTTGTGGGCGAGCGTGGCAGCCAATTGCGCACAGCAATGTCCCACAAACAGTCGTAGATTGAAAATGACCAATTTATTATTGTTTTGGGTTTTGGAGGGATTATTATTAGGCTCTGTGTGGAGTAAGGAAACTTGCCCAAGGTTTCGCCCTCTGCCTGGAATTGAACTCAGGTCTCTCGCTTGCAAAGCAAGTGCTCTAACCACTGAGCTACAGGACTCCACATAAGGTGCCATATCAAATGCTGGAGTCCTATAGCTCAGTGGTTAGAGCAAGCAAGAGACCTGGGTTTGATTCCCAGAAGGGTGAAATGTTGGGCAAGTTTCCTTACTCTGTTTACCTAGCAGTAAGTAGGAACCGGTTGTTAGTCAATAGGCGGATCACTTTTCTGGGGGTAATAATTCTTTTTAAAAAAAATTATAAATTGGTCACTTCAGTTGTGTGCAATTGGCTGCCACGTTTCGCCTACAAAATATGCAGCCAATTCACTTTACACTTTACAAACTGCTTCACACTTTACAGTTTCTTGAAAATGTGATAAGGCACTATAATAAATACAAGTGCTATTATTATATTGTTATATTTAAATGTCCATTATATCTTTCAAAAGAAGCATGTTTTTAATTGCATATCATTTCTAAAGAAAGAACATTATCAGTATTTCATATGGATTATTTGACAACATTAAGAAATGGTGTTAAGGGTTTTTCTGAAGTGGAGACTAGGAACATTATTTAGATTATTTCATGAGTGTGTTTAATATAATGTGTGATGTATAACTAGTGCGGATGTCCTATGAGGCAAATGTACGCAAAATGACCAATGTTGTTTGAAAATGGATCTGTCACTTGGTAACAGTTAAATTAACTTTGTAACAATTATAGTTCATCATAGAATTATACAGCACAGGAGAGGCCATTCGGTCCATCGTGTCTGTGCTGGCTCTTTGAAAAGAGCTGTTCAATTCAATCCCACTCCCCCACGTTCTCCCCATAGCCAGGCAAACTTGTCCTCCTCAAATAATTATCTACTTCTCTCTTAAAAGTTGCTATTGAATCGGCTTCCACCTTTCAGGCAATGCCTTCCAGATCTGAACAACTTGCTATGTGAAAACATTTCTCCTCATCTCCCCTCTTTCTTTTAACAACTATTTTAAATCGGTGTCCTCGGGTTACCGACCCACCTGCCAGTGGAAATAGTTTCTCCATGTTCGCCCTATCAAATCCCCTCACAATTTGAAAACTTCTATTAAGTCTCCTCTTAACCTCCTCTGCTCCAAGGAGAATAATCCTCGCTTCTCTAGCCTCTCCTCATAACTGAAGTCCCTCATTCCTGGTACCATCCTGGTAAATCTCCTTTGCACCCTCTCCAATGCCTTGACATTCTTCCTAAAGTGTGGGGCCCAGAACTGAACACAGTCTCCAGCTGAGGTCCAACCAGTGGTTCATAAAGTTTCATCATAACCTCCTGACGTTTGTATTCTATGCCCTTATTTATAAATCCTAGTATCCCGTATGCTTTTTTAATAGCTTTATCTACCTGTCCTGCCACCTTCAAAGATTTACTTATATGAACCCCCAGGTCTCTCTGTTCCTTCACCCCTTTTAAGATTGCCATCAGCTTATATTGCCTCTCCTCATTCTTCCCCCAAAATCCATCACTGCCCAGTTTACCAGTCTGTCTATGTCCATATGTATCACTACATGTTTGGGTGTGGCATATACATTGCAGGCAATAATGAGTTGTTCGTCTCCAGGAGATTTCCACTCACATAGGTAAACGTGAAAAATAATACCCATACCTTTGTCTAAACAGAATCAAAACTATTGTAGAATTAATTTAGTCCTGAAAATGTAATGCTACAGATTTACAAATCTAAAACGTATTTATGTACAAATGTAGCTGCTTTTCTTGTAATCTTTTGTCAAATGAAAAAGCTGATGGAAATAATAATTTTGTGAAAAACAGTGTTAAATCTAGTGCAGTTGAGCTTTGAAATGTCTATGTGGATATTCAGGATCAGATCATTGGACTGTGAAGTTTCCCTGTGTGTTAAACACGGTTGAGGTGTGTCAAACCACAGTGCAGGGCTGAAGTTGTTAATGTGAATCTTCCCATGCATCGTGGTAGCATTGACAACACACAGCACTGCAGTCCTGTTTTACCAGTTGTAGTGACAGCAATATCATCAATCTGACTGAGGTGTAATTGTTTTGGCAGATTGTCTCCAGCAAGAAACTGATGAGACCGCTCCTGTTAAAAAATGGAAAGCCTGCAGGGAAAGGAACAATCACGGTAAAGAAGAAAACCTTTTTCTGTTTAGAATTACTGAGGTCAATTGTAGGAATATTTCATCCAAATAAATGCACCAACCAAACAAAAAAAAATGTGGATCAGGATTTGTAAAAACACTAAACTAAAACAAATCTGCTGTTTTCATATTATTGTATGTTAAGGTGTTTGAATCGAAAAAATATGTTGTGCACAAATGTTGTTAAACTTCTAAAATGTGTTGCTGTAATATTTGTCAACAATTAGACTACTGGGAATTTTTTATGATGGCTTCAAATATGTGAATGCAAATGAATGAAAGGCTCTTAATTTATTGAAATGTTTATAGAGTACTTCAATGCGAGTAGGTTTTGGTAGCACAGTAGATACCTATAGTTGAAACACTGGAAAATAGTATGTCAAATTTGTTTGTTCCTGAAGGTTCAGATACTTGAAACAAAATTGATGGCATTGTGTTTATACTAATCTAGTCAGTTATCACATAGAGACATGTATGGCAGTATTATCAATCTATTAATGTAAGTCCAAAAAATCTCAGTCTTACCCAGTGACGATTAAATGCTAATCCTGAGATCTGTTTATTGCAACATTGTGTTTTCAGTTATGACATACTGTATATACTATATACTTTTGGGGATTTATGTTTTTTTATAGTTTTTAATAAGGTGAGTGGTCTGAGAAGATTTTTTNCAAATAATAGGGTATTATGAAAACATTTTAATTAGCAATAAATGTGACCTTTTACATCAGGCAGAGTCTTTAGTAGGAGTGATACTAGGAACAAGGAAGAAGAGATGCTGAATGAATCATGAGCATTATACAGGGCAACAGCTTCATAACACGGGCATGTGGGTCCAATGACTCAGGCCGTGTGTTATAAAATGGCACAATTTTAAAAAGTCTGGCTTCTGGATAATCAGGATACAACTGATGTCAGTTGCTGTGAATAGCATGCTTTTGTAGCATGTCAGAAGTGATGGACGTAGTGACCTGGTATTTCTTTTCCCAAGTTACTGGATTTGAATGAACTGATTCTAAAATTTTCAGGTAAGTAAAGGTCGGGGTCAGCAACCCAATTGCATCATAGGCAAACTTGTGTTATAGCAAGGCACGTTATAATGGGGTTGTTCTGTACTTAGAGTTATATAGTGATGGAAATCCGCAAGACAAAAATTTTAAAAGTGCCAATTTATGTATGCTGAGTTTTAAAATCCTTGTTTTTCAATTTTATTGTATTTCATTTGGGGATCCTTAGATATTTGCAGAAGAGGTAAAAGATAACCGAATGATAAACTTTGAAGTTGAAGCTCGAAAACTGGATAATAAGGTATTTGTATGCTTTATGTTTAATTTCAAATTAGTTGTCTTCATTTTCATACATAAGATCTCTTCGGGGCATATTCTTGCAGCAGTTGTTCAGAGGTGTATGAGAAAACTTGAAAATGAATTTCCCTCTAGTTTTTACTCTCTTTGCCGGTGACTTGTGCTCAGCATTTTTGTATTGGTTTGACTGAGATTAGCAACGGAATGATGGAGAAGTCTGGAACACAGAGATACATACTGTGCAATGTGCAGAGCTAAATCTGTTTCCATTTTCCTGAATTTTACACATGAGTACTTTTGTTTGCATGACATTTCCGACCATACATTTGATATGGTGAGTCTGTACAGTTTGGAGATTGATGATGGTTTTCTGTGTGCATCAAGTATCCTAGTTAACCAAGCCGTTGGCAAGATTGTTTTATAACAGCTTCCTATTACTGTTTTCACTGCTGAAAAATTGCTTAATCGCTTCAATGTAACACAGTTTGCAATGTATCACATTTCTGTTTGAATAATACCCTGTTTCATTCTTGTGTGTGGCTATTAGGATTTCTTTGGGAAATCTGATCCTTATTTAGAGTTCTACAAACAGACTGATGATGGAAAATGGCAGATGGCGCATAGAACTGAGGTGAGAAGTTCACTGTTCACTTTGGTCTTTCCTGTCAGAACAAAGTGCAATGTAGATTTACAAGGGTTGAGTGGACACAATAAGCAAGAAAGATTGGACAGGTTGAGATTGTTTCTATCTGGAGATGAATGACTGGTGGAGGATTTTTTGATGAGTCCAAAAGAAGGGGACTTAAAGATAATGTAACCAGTAGCTGATCCAAAAGGAAGCTCAGGGAGAACAACTTTATACAGAGGGTACTGAGAACGTGGAATTCTCTACCAGAAGCTGTGGTTGAAGCAAAAAACAACCAATATAACAGGAAAAGTGATGCATACGTGAGAGAGAGAGAGAGAGAGAGAGAGAGAGAGAGAGAGAGAAAAGGGAATAGAGGGGTACAGATGAAGAGACTAGGAGGGGAGCAGACATGTGTGAAGTATAAACTGGAGCATGGACTAATTGGGCCAAATGGCCTGTTTTTTTTACTGTAATTCTATGTAAAACACATAGCAATTGTATTATTTACTTTGTTGGGATTTCATAAATTCAACATAAAATTACAGAAGAGCAGATCTTAATCTTACTATTTTGAAGTCAACAAAAGTAGAGAGCAAAATAGGTCCATAACAAAATACTCAATGCTGAACAAATTCCTAAAAGAAAAATACTGTTAACTCATATAATACAGTAATAGTCATTCAGGCAATATTTCCAATGGGATGATATTCGAAATGAAGTTTCAATTCTCTCCTTTCACCAACCAAGACAAACCACTGACAACTGTTCCATATCATGATACAAGGTCTTAACACCTTCGTTGCGATCAAGGAAACAAGACCCAAAGCAAAAGATTCAAATTGTTAAATTTACTTACTTATATTCCTCTCTTTTAATCTTTCCTTTGTTTGTGTTTTCAGGTCATCAAAAATAACTTGAATCCCACTTGGAGACCCTTTAAAATCCCTTTACATTCTCTGTGCAATGCTGATTTACAGAAGCCTGTCAAGGTATTGGGAATCATATTGACCTATTTGGGAAAGAATGGTTTTGTTCTCATTTTTTGAATGCTTGGATAAAATCTAAATGAAATAGGAAGTATTGCTCTCACTTTGGCATAATATTTCATGATGTGTATACTTTGTGATGTAAATGCAATTGTATGGCATTTAAACCAGATGTTACTACTCCCTCCTCTACATGGGTTGGATTGGTGTAGTATGATGTATCGTTATAATGTTGTTACTGATTGGAATTGGGCAGTGTTGAGTTATCAGCAATAGAATAGGCTTTAATAATTCAGTATTAAGTGAAACCAGCACATGTTCTTCATACAGATGAAATTCTAGCACTGCATAGCTGTTATGCAAATACAATGTTTATTATTATCAAATGCATGATAACAAATGTACAATATTAAATGCAGTAGGATCCTGAATTACTCCACACCAACTACAATGGGGCTTTTTTATAACACAGTGTTTAGGATTCATAAAATCACAACCATACATATAGCAAGGCACGATGGCCGGTCTCACTGTGCAGGCAGGCATGCACCAGCTCACTCACTTCTTGGATCCCAAAACAGAAAACAATGTCTGACTTCCACTTGCCATAGATGTCGCCTCCTGTTCATAATCTTTACACTGATGGAATTAAAGTAGCATCCATTTATAGCGTGAACATTTATATGCTCATAATGATGAGTATTAATGCTGCAAATGGAACACCTATTTTGTGAACTCAGCTTCAGCATCCGGTACTTCAGTGTAAGGTATGATACAAGTCTGACTAGTACATAAGTACAAAGAACTATTACTCTCGTAGCCACAAGTTTTCAGGGCAGCTGGAATGATGGTTTCATTACAGTTAGTAAAAGCTGTTGAGACAGAAGGTATTGTTTTACTGTCTGTGGTTTCAAAAATCTATTATAAAATCTTGAATACTGTAGAGACACAGAGCTGCTTCAAATTGATTAATTGCTTTTTTGACTCGGGGCATAAAGTGAGGGGAGACTCTTTTGCGTCTTTTTTTCTGGGGATTTGGGATGAAAACTCCAATATAAGTTGTGGAACTCTGTAATTGAGATGATCTTGAGAAGTTGCTTTCAATAAGAACAATTAATGTGGAGTGGTGCACGATAGCAGGTAGTGCCAATCCAAATCCATTTGAGCTTCTGATCGGAAATAGTTCTCAAGACCATTGAAGGGGCTATTTTTAATATGAAAGACATAGTCACACAGCTTGGGAGAATAACCAGTAGCAGGAAGTATAAATCCTGCTGACTGATCAGAATCGATCTGCTGAATAGTCCAGTCCAGAACTGCACCAGATGCAGTTTCATTCCAGACAGGTATTACATTGTGGTTATATGGTTTGCATTGAAGTTGTGCAATGAACATGTTAAATTGGATCCATTATGTTGGAATCTGGAACTAATAGGCTAACCAGGCTCCGCGACCACATCACTCCCACCCTCGCTCGCCTCCACTGGCTCCCCATCCCCCAGAGGATTGATTTCAAGATCCTCATCCTCACCTACAAGGCCATTCACGGCCTCGCTCCCTCCTACCTCTCCAACCTACTATCCCCCTACTTACCTGCCCGTACCCTCCGTTCCTCTGGCTCCGGTCTGCTCCACATCCCCCGCCCCAACCGCCCGACCATCGGTGGCCGGGCCTTCAGCCTCTCAGCCCCTAGGCTTTGGAACTCCATCCCCCAGTGCCTTCGCCGCTTCCTCCCTTTCCTCCTTCAAGGCCGGTCTCAAGACCTTTCTCTTTGACCGTGCCTTCAGCTCCCCTCTCGACTCTCTACCCCCTCCTCGCTCCCTCCCTTCCCTCCCCTCACCCTGACCATTTCCCCCAATGCTCGGGTCCTGACCCAACTGTACAGCGCCTTGGGACGTCCTCCCGACGTGAAAGGCGCTCTATAAATGGAATCTTGTTGTTGTTGTTGTTGTTGTAATAACCTCTTGACTTTGTCCCTCTTTAGGTGGACTGTTATGACTATGATGATGATGGGTCACATGACCTAATAGGTTCATTTGAGACTAACGTCGAAAAACTCCAAGAGGCCTCCCAGAACTCAGTAAGACTTTGTGTTTGGTTTAAATGCTCAGATTCTGCCATTGTATTGATGCTCCAGCTGCAAGTTATTATTTTGTGGAGGGGCGGGGGGTCTTTATTGTTTTTTGTTTCATTTTACAGACCCTGTAGATTTAATTGGATGCTTACATTGGGATAGTACTATGTCTTTGTTTATTCTTGTTGGAGAGTGACAAAACTGGAGAGAAGGTTGCCCTCGCTGGATCAGCATGCTTATCTAGCGGATGTGAATCCCTTGTCTGTGAGAAATTGTTAAAAGTGGCTTAGGGTCTTGGGTTAAAGTTCCTATTCCAGATCACTATCCAGTGCCCCCATTCCCCTCTCCTCCTCAGTTAAAAGAGGGAGGTCATAAACTTAGACATTTCAGAAAGGTTGGCCATTTAGTCCATTGTAACTGTCTTTTTCTGTAGAAGGCTCGGGTCCCACTGAAGCAATCTGCGCTAACCCCATTGTTCTCACTCTTTCCTGATATGATTTTTAAACAAAATCTTTCATCCAGTTCCCTTTCAAAATAACATAATTTGCTTTAATATTCATTTATGGTAACAGATTCCAAATCCTAGGTAACGCAATGAGGACTAACAAGTACTCAGCAAAAAAAAACAGCAGCATTTGCACTGCAAACTGCTCAAGTAAATTAGATGTGATATTTCGTTCATGGGGCAGGAAGGTGGGAAGTGATTTGTGTGTGAGATTGTTGCACATTGTTTGTAGTCCAGGCCTTTTGTGTCAGTCGAGTGGCCACAGTTGTTGCTACCTTGCATATCTGAATGCATTATCGAACTGAATTTCTAATTGTTTGAATAATTCGAATGAAGTACAGTATGTTCTGATGTGCCATGTGTTTGTACTGTTGTCTCTTGTCCTTAATATTGCAGGACATGTATATATCTATATATATATATTCATGTGTGTATATGATGCATTTTATCAGGACACTAATAATGCGCTTCTCTCGCAGACAGAGTTTGAGTGTGTTAATGTAAAGAAAAAGGAGAAGAAAAAGAATTACAAGAATTCTGGAACTTTGAGGGTTAAATTATGTCAGGTATGTGGTGCTGGGGATTTTTTGTTTTGATGATTGAGGATGTTTTTAAAATCTTTGTTTAGGAAAACACTGTGCTTTCTTTAAATGGTTTGTTCTGAGAAACTTGCTTTTTTTAAAAAAAAATCCTCCATTCATTTAGTGGCATTCATGTTAGGAGGAGGTTTTAAAGCACTTCTCGGGATTTACTGTAAAAGTAACTGTCCATATTTTAGGCAATATTGTTATTGGATAACATATATATCTACAGTGATTTGTCACGCTTGTTAAAAATATTTTTCAAGGCTCCTAGGTGGAGCTCTTACACAATCTCAACATCCTCCATCTAAATAAAGCAGAGATACTGGGCCAACAGAGCCAAGTGTCAGATCTATTGTGAGCAGTCTCCCTTCTTCCTCACAAAGTCAGTTCCGGCCTGGGTCAAGTACTTACTATTAATTGTGCTTACTTGTATCTTAAAATCCTTTCAAATGAACAAATAAGAAAACAAAAATTGAGTAGGCTTTGATAATAGTTCCAGTGTATGTATTCCAGATAAGTTATGAAAATAATTCATGGCTTTTATTTCAAACCTTTAACTTTGTAGATTGTGAAGGAGTACACTTTTCTGGACTTCATTATGGGTGGATGTCAATTGAACTTTACTGTAAGTTTACTGTTCAGATTTATCATGTATTCTAATAGTGATAATCTTTGTGGATTGCATTGGTGTTAACACTTATAATAATAATACTTGCATTTGATATAGAACCTTAGCATGTCTTCAAGACGTCTCAAAGCGCTTCGCAGAATATACTGTAAAGTAAATTAACTACATTTTGTGGGAGAAAAGTAGCAGCAAATTGCGCACAGCAGTGTCCCACAAACAGTCATGGATTGAGTGACCAAATTACTATTTTTAAAAATATATATTTTTGAAGGGATTATTACTCCCAGAAAACCAATCCACCAGTTGACTTGCAAATGGGTCCCTACTTACTGCTAGGTAAACAGAGAGAGGCCTATGGAGTAAGGAAACTTGCCTAATGTTTGCCCTGCCTGAGAATTGAATATTGTCCTCTCGCCTTGCTCCTAGGTCCTCTGGTTTACGGGATGAGTGCGCCAACCAATAGACTACAGGACTCCATTGCCTAGTTAGCTGCATGTTAATTGTAGTAGTATTAACTAGATATGGATTGTAATGATGTTAACTGGATTTGGGTTGTTAGAGTGTTAATTAGTTATGCTGGACTGAAGCATACGTGCTTGAGATATAAAAGCGCTCTGAAATATTACCCCGCATGAAGGGCACTATATAAACGCAGGTTGTTGTTACTATTACTGTTGTTGGAGTCTTTCTCTAATAATAATAATAATTCTTCACATTTATTTATTTTAGACGGTCTGCTCCTGATAGCTTCTTAATTGTTCATTGGCTATGGACAACCTTTCCTCTCCCCTCCCCCTCGACTTGTGAAAATGGTTGGGCCAAAGGTGCTTGTTGCTGCCATTGATCCAGTGATCCAGCCGACAGTGTCATTGAACCTTCAAAGTATTTCAGTCCTGGTTTAGGGAATATTGGATTAGCTCTACTTTAAAGTTTTTGAACAATCTTGCCACAATCTGGAACAGTCTTTGAATAATTTTGAACAATAATGGCTTGTCTATCTGTATTCCCTTAACTGATTCAGTAAATATATTTCTGTTTCTTAATTGCAGGTCGGGGTCGATTTTACAGGTTCAAATGGAGACCCTCGTTCACCAGATTCCCTACATCATATCAGTCCTAATGGACTTAATGAATATCTGATGGCAATCTGGTCTGTTGGAATGGTCGTTCAAGACTATGATTCGTAATGCATCCCTTGTTATTATTTTTATTAATTCAAACACATTATTCCTCTAATTCTTTAACCCTTGCATTTGCTGCAACAGCAACAAAATTACATCTATAAAAGGCCTAAAACATTGGAAGGATGGCCCAAGGCGCTGGACAGTTAAGGGTTTGCACCCGAGCTGGGGATTGGAATCAGGAAGGTGGAAAGTAGGGGAGGTGGGTGGCCGAAAGCACGATCACAAAGTCTTTAGACGGGCCTTGACGGATATACAGTATATTTATACATCACCCCGAGACCCAGTGCTATGTGAAGGCACTATATGAATGCAAGTTGCAGTTTGATATTGTGCCTTTCATGTCATCAGGATGTCCTGAAGTGCATAGAATCATACAAATGTACAGCTCAAATCTGCACCAGATCTCAGAGCACACTGCACTTTCAATTGCTTCACAGTATTGTGTATGTTACAGGGGCAGTCAATTTGTGCACAGCAATGTATTGCAAATTTTCAGCAAGTGAATGACCAATTTTACCTCGCGGAATCTTGGCCAAGAAATTGGGAGAAAATTCTCTTTTCATATGGTGCCTTAAAATCTTTAAGGCAGACAAGACCTTGGTATCATCTGATGGATAGCAACTATAATAATGCAGCGCTCCTCAGTACTGTAATGGAGTGCCAGTTTAGACTGTGAATTCAACGTCCCAGTATGGGGATTGAACCTGCAGTCTTCTGACTCATAGGTGAGAGTCCTACCAATTGAACTAGGCTGAAGCACGTAACACATGATCACTGCATCCTTCTATCCTAGATGTTGAGCTGTAATTAGACCAACAATATCTGTAAACAGGGTAGTGAAACAAAAGTGAGAGATCTCGTAACATCTGTATTCCTCTAAAAAAAACTAAATGCCACACGTATTCTATTTCCCTGCTGACAATGACATATCCTCTTTTTCTCCCTCAATTGTACACATACGTAGTTTACCAGCAGCTGTCCAACCATGGTAATTTCTTTACAGAGATAAATTGTTTCCAGCATTTGGATTTGGTGCACAGATACCCCCAAACTGGCAGGTAAATGAAAGTCACTTACATAAAAATAAGTACTGTATCTTTTATACAATTGACCTACATTATACTATAAGGCATTGTTCATTCTTCTAGGTATCACACGAGTTTCCACTTAACTTCAGTGCTGATAACCCATTCTGTTCAGGTATGGAATTAAATGTATATATGATGTTAGCTTGACGACAGTTACGTGCATGCTAAGTACCCCAATACAGAAAGGGTGTCAAGTGCAGAGAGTGTCGGGGTGCATATGTGCGGTAATCTGTTTGAGGTAGGGGCAGAAGGAGACCATTGGACTCATCAAACTTTTGGTGGTGGTTAATTGAAGTCCTGGATAGAGAATGACAATGAATAGACAGTTGCTGGATCTGTTGGATGAGAATCTGATAACAAGTGTTTTGTGGCAACTACATTAATTAGCCTGAATATAGCAATTGATTGACAATCTACTGATATCATTATGAATTACAACAACAAAAAGCCTTCCTTTCCACTGCCATTGTAAAGTTTCATGCTACGTATAACCCAAATCAATTCTACACAACTGCAGGATTTATAGTATAGTGGATATTCATTAAATTTTTTATTGAATGCATTTGATGTTATATTATCGGTTACATTCTTTAGGTGTGCAAGGGATTGTGGATGCCTACCGCAACTGTCTGCCTCAAGTCAAGCTATATGGGCCCACAAACTTCTCTCCCATAATAAACCATGTGGCTGGATTTGGAGCTGCAGCAGCACAGCAACCAGCAGCTTCAGTAAGTGTTCAAGCATTTAATCTCGCTAACTATAACTGCAGCAAAATGGCAAGTTTTAAGAGTTCTGTAAATGATAACATTATCTATATCTCAAGTAGAATAAATTATATCAAAAGAGATATTTTGGCAGTGAGCTCAAGCCTGTAATTTCATCCCAAGATTCAGTTGGTATTTATGAACCACTCGAACCTAATGCTTATTGAGGGTATCAAGATTGCTGCCTTATTATTCTTCAGGTGTTTCTTGCATTTTCTATGTGATGGACTCAAGGTATGAATGGTACTTTTGTGGCAAATGTCATACATTGTATCTTCACTTTGTCACACGATGCAATCCAAAGTGTGTTTTACCACTAAGCTCTGTTCCTTAATTTTCCAAAAAATGTTGTACTATTGTAAGAACAACAATTGCTTGATCTGATTCATGACAAGAGTATATCCTGGGGTTCAGATATGTGTTTTCAGCTTTTTTCTTGAAACTTCTGGCATCTTTAGAATTTCCCCAATTTGTAGTTTAAGTTCATCAACAATATCTGCTATGTGCTTAGAGTGTGCGTGATCTTGGGAAAGTAATTGAAATTGTCATTTTGGTGTAGAGTAGCACTCCTGCCTCTGGGTCATTGGATTGTGATTCAAGTCTCACACTTGAGCTTCAAACTGACAGTCCTGTGCAGTACTGGGAAATACTGAACTGTTGGATCTGCAATTGTTTGGATGAGCCATTAAACTGAGATCTCATCTGTCTGCTCCCATGTGGATACTAGAAATCCCAAGCCACTATTTTAAGAGTGAAGGGAAGTGTCCTAGCCTGCGGTCCTGCAGATTAATTCACTATTCACCTCATGGCTGGTTGCAGAAATGTACTGGTGGAATTGGTTGCCACATTGATTTACAAAATAGTTGCAACATTGACATAACTATCCTTGAGATGTTTCAGTGCTGTGTAACAACTTATCACAAGTTGTTTCAATAGAAATACTTCTATGGTATTTAGAGCCTGCATGTTTGAATTTTGAAATATTTCTAAACAGCAATATTACATCCTGCTGATCATCACGGACGGAGTGATAACTGATTTAGATGATACACGACGTGCCATAGTCAACGCTTCCAAATTGCCAATGTCCATCATCATCATTGGTGTTGGTGGGGCTGATTTCACTGCCATGGAGTTCCTGGATGGTGATGATGGTGTTCTTCGATCCCCCACCGGAGAAATGGCCATCCGAGATATAGTCCAGTTTGTGCCTTTCAGAAAGTTTCAAAATGTAAGTGTCTCATGAAATTTGTTTAACTTTTTGTTGTGTAGATTTACGAAGAATTGTTCAAGCTAGTCAATAGGGTAAAAGCAGAAATTCTTAATTAGTATTACAAACTGCACAGGATGGAGTCACGCTACAATATACTGTGGTGAGCCTGGGTTTGCCAATAGCATAAGTCTGCTGTGGACTTGTGCCATACAAGAAGAATGCTACACCCAGTTTCTCGTGCCGACAAGCTGGCTTCCTGTGGTTTTAAAAAAAAATGTCCACATGCGTGCAATACGTTAACAGCAACCAGAAACCAATTGCATAACTCTAGACCTCAATCATGTAACTGCCATGAGGATCAAAATATACTGCCATGTCAGTGTGGATCACTTACTTTTTATTTTCACATGAAATGTGTTTTTAATATTAATATTCCTTGTTTATGTAATTTGCAGCACTGCTGCTAGAAATGAAATTACATTTGTTTGTAACAAATGGTGAAGGAATTGCATGACTTGGGAGTATTTGCTCCTTTACTTATTTTGTGCTTTAAGTCCTTGTTGCTATTCTGGGGTTGAACATACTTCCACTTCTTGGATCCAGTATCAGTGCAGCGCTATATTAGCCTGGTGAGTGACAAGCTGGCTCAGTGCATCTCGCTTCTGAGTCAGGAGGTTATGGGTTCAATCTCCATGTCAGAACTTGAACTCACGCCTAGGCTGACACTCCAATGCAGTGCTGTGGAGGTGTTGCATTGCTGAAGGTGCCGCCCCTTGAATGAGATTTTGAACCGAGGACCTGTCTGCCAGTTTAGGTGGATGTTAATGATCCCATGGCACTATTTGAAAAGAAAAAGGAGTTTCTCTCAATGTCCTGGCCAACAATCCCCCAAATAAAATTGGGTATTCACCGCACTTCTCTTTGTGGGACACTGCAGTGTGCAAACTGGCTGCCCATTCGCTGACAAATACAGTCACTACTCTTCACAGTAAATCCTATAAACTGCTTTCTGACGTCTTCCCGACATGAGAGGTGCTATACCAAATGCAATAATTATTTATTATTATTTTATTAAATTAGTGATAAATTATAAGGATGTTAAGACTGGGCGCTTTTATGTGCTATGGGCTGATTTGAGATGGGGAGGGGTGGGGGAATTGCAGTTGGTATTCATGTTTCAAGTTGAATGCATGTGTACCTATTTGATTTTAATCCAGGGTAACTTTGACAATACTTTTGAAACAACTTTAATATCTTGTTAATTTATCAGTAACACATATCCATGGTATGATTTTCTCTCATTCCACAGGCACCTAAAGAAGCTCTTGCACAAAGTGTATTGGCTGAAGTGCCTCAGCAAGTGGTGTCCTACTTCAACACACGTAAACTGCGCCCTCCCAATGAGACCAGTACCTGAGTGTCTCTGGATGTACCTATCATTGTACTTTAGTGGTTTATACACATGTTTATTATGGAAGTATATGTGCCATAGCTATAATGTGTTTATATTGTGATTAATCAGAATGCTGTTATAAAGAAGGATAGTATGGAGAAGAGAAATTGTACTTATTTCTTCTCTTTTTCTCTCTGTATCTATGATATATGTGTATAAACTTCAAGACATTTAATTTCTCTCCTCTATACACACTTTGTAGAGACTTGACATTTTGGGATCTCTTCCTGCAAGATTCATTCATGGAGGATTTGGTATATATTACAAGCATGCATCAAAGTGTCTCAATAGTTCAAGACAGAAGTTAGCTAGAAGACTTATGCAGATGATGATCCAAAGGGCACCTGAGAGGGCACTCTGTGTGTTTTCAGTGAGCCATACAGATCAGAAAAATCCCACATTCATTGGCTACAAATACAATCACTGTGTTTTACAGTACAATCCTGTGAAGCACTTTAGATGTTTTGACAGTGTGATAAGGCACGATAGCAAATATAAAGATTATTATTATATGATGCATTTTGGTAATACATTTAATGTGCAACCAGATAATACCAAACATGTATAGTAAACTGCTGATAACTCATTACTCCCAAGGGAAAAGGGCTCAGTAGCAAGGTAGGTATATGTATAAATACATAAATAAATGCGGTGGGGATATTGACATCATGATGAGTTGTAGTGACAAGTTAAGCCAGGGTTGAGTTATCAGGAGTTTATTATGTATGTAACCAAATGAAAGCCAAGTCATCATCTGAACTGATTCATGTCCTTAAAGGGAATTGTTTTCTGATATCCATCATCTTCTTTGTCATGTACATTGCTTATGGCACTTCTGTAATAATGAATAAAACATCTCTTATAGAATGTTTGTTTTTAGAAAAAATCTATTGTATTAGTCATACATGCTTTTATTTATTTGTAACTAGAAAATATTTCTTCAAAGAAATATTGTGAGAATACGGAATGAACTACTTCAGAAAGTCATCAAGGCAGCAACAACTTAAATGTGGGGTAGGATCTCAGAATGCTGAAGAATGGTGTAGTATGATGGTGAACCAGGAAGAAAGGGGAGTTGATCATAAGCACTGTCAAAGAGAAAAGTTTATAAGTGTGAACTGCAGCTGGGCAAAGAGGGAGCAAGGCAGAGGATTTAGGCAGAGAGTTCCAGGGATTCTGGACATACTGCCTGAAAGGATGCCCCCCCCCCATAGTGGAGCAGAGAGGTTGGGGGATGTGGAGATGGTTCAAGACAACTGATTGAAGGGGCAGGTCGAGGAATAGGATGTGAGCTGGTTGGAAAGGTAAGAAATTACTCTGGCATGAGTGATTTTGTAGGTGAGTGTGACAATCTTGAAATCAATCCCTTCTGTGACAGGAAGCCAAAGGAGCCTGGGCAAGGACTAGAGTGATGAAGGAGTGGCAAGGGAGACTGGTGAGGAGTGCATTGGAGAAATCAAGATGATGGAGGTGTTTAAAAGGGAGAAAGATCGTTACCATACTTGGAAAGTGATAGTATTCATCTTATTGCATCGCTTTACATTGGTATCACTTCACATTCATCAAAAATGACAAAATGGCCCCTCAAGGCAATAAGCAACAGTGTGATGATGGTCACCTCCCCCTGGCTCGGAGTTGTGCTCCACCTCTGTCAAGTGCTCTGGGATGCTACCCTGCCCGAGGAGCGCTATATAAAAGCAAGTTGTTGTTGTTGATAGATTCTCACTGATGTTGAAAATGCATTCATATGTAACCATATTGAATCTCCCAAGTGTAGAATGCTGGTTAGGGCAGATGTATTGCAAAGCAAGAACATCAATAGATGGAACAGGCTCAATAGGCTGAATAGTCTGTCCATGTTTGACGTCCAAGAAATCAATAGCACTAAAAGATAAACAGATCCAGAAGCCTTACTCTATCCCCAGTGCCTTCGCCTTGCCTCCTCCCTTTTCTCCTTCAAGGCTGGTCTCAAGACCTTTCTCTTTGACCGTGCCTTCAGCTCCCCTCTCAACTCCCTACCCCCTCCTCGCTCCCTCCCTTCCCTCCCCTCACCCTGACCATTTCCCCCCAATGCTCGGGTCCTGACCCAACTGTCCAGTGCCTTGGGACGTCCTCCCGACGTGAAAGGCGCTTTATAAATGGAATCTTGTTGTTGTTACTGTACTGCCTTTGTTATTTTAAATGAATCATCAACACCACCCATTATCCACACAGTGAAGGAATGCAGCAAACTCCTTCAATGCAGCAAACTCCTTCAATGAGTCAGAAAAGCTATGGCTCCCTCATTCTTCATAGATTCTTCATTTGGTCATTGTGTATGCATGTTAAGGTGCCTGTAGAAATGGCCATTGCTTTACATTTCTTCCCATTAAATACTGTACCATCCTCCATTCTTTACTGTATATCTGCTTAATGTGTGCAGGTCTGTTTGAGTGATATCTTAGTAAATATGAATCTTTCCTTCCCTATATATTGGGCCAGTGCCAGTTTTTACATGGGTATGTTTTCATTTGCATAGGAACGCCACACTCCTCTGTGATGCCACTGATCGGTTTGAATAATAATGTCTTTACATTACCCTGTGGCTGCTTGCGCTGTGGATTCTGCTCTGCAAACACAAAAGGGCGTCATTACAGAGCCATGCAACCCAGGAACAACTGCACCCGTAGGTCTGGAGATGGTGGAGATGCTTAGCAGCTCATTATTGTAGTAATACATTTTCTTTCATAGTGCTGTCTGCTTTTGGGAAACAGAGACAAATTTATTCATAAGCCTGACAGCACTTGACTAGAAAACCATGACGACAACTCACATTGTTTTTTTCGAAGTTCACTCACAGTAAGTGCTCATTTATTTCTGTGTCATTGAATATCATGGAATACAATGGTTCGTGGGACACTGCTGTGCGCAATTGGCTGCCATGTTTCGCCCACAAAACACGCAGTCAATGCACTTTTCAATATATTCTGTGAAGAGCTTTGAGACGTCTTTATGGCATGATAAGGCGCACGATTATTAGACACAATGTAGAGAAAACAAACAAGGATCATCCCTGTTCAGACAAAGTAAAGCTGTTCAGCATTGAAAGAGACGTCTCCGAGGCAACTTGATAGAGCTGTGTAAGACTTTAAATGGAAATGAGAATTTAATCTCAGAGCAAAGCTTTAACCTCTGCCAACGCAACCGAACCAAGAAAGCCCAGGGAAACCTCTCCTCGGGGTACGGTTAACAGCAACAACAAATTTTTTTGCTGCTGTTAAAGCACGTTTTGCAGGATTACATTCTTCCTTTTAAAAAAAGGGCAACGAAGCCCCCGCCCAAAGGCGTTTTGGCGGAAAGCCCCACGCGCAAAAGCCGCCCAATGGGGCGTGAACACGCCCCCCCCAAAGCCGCCCAACCCGCCCAACCCGCCCACAGTGGCTTCGGGCTGGGGCGGCGCATGCGCGGGGCTGAGCCCAGTGACAGCCGCAGCCTCTCAACACCTCTCTCTCTCTCTCTCCTTCCCTCCCTCTCTCCCACAGTGAGTCAGTCAGTCACACACACACAGAGCCGCGCTTCACGGCTCAGGGCCTCCCCCCCTCCGCCCTGTCACAGGCGCCAACAACATTCAGGTATTGCACTTTCTAAACCCATCTCTCACTGTAACTGCTGTAAACCTCTCCTCTCTCTCTCTCTCTCGTGTTGCAGAGGGGGTCACTCCTCTCATGTGACACACCTCCTTCTTCCTCCATCTAAACCCGCTCTGTGCACAGCAGTATGTGTCTGTGTCTGTGTGTGTGTGTGTGTCTGTGCTCCTGGCAACTTGTGCACAGATTTTCTCTGTGCGATGGGACGAGAGGCTGTTGCCCACACAGTGCAGTTTGTTTTCGTTTTCGTTCCTTGACTTGTTTTGTTGGGAGCAGCTCTTTCAGAGGCTTTTGCACAGTCTGCAGGAAACCCTGAAGCAACTGCAGGTTGGGTAACAGCGGGTGAGACTTGAGTTGTTCCAGCAGTGATCCTTCCGGATTCACAGGCAACAACAACAACAACAACAAGATTCCATTTATAAAGCGCCTTTCACGTCAGGAGGACGTCCCAAGGCGCTGCACAGTTGGGTCAGGACCTGAGCAGGGGGGAAATGGTCAGGGTGAGGGGAGGGAAGGGAGGGAGCGAGGAGGGGGGAAATGGTCAGGGTGAGGGGAGGGAGGGAGGAGGAGGGGGGAAATGGTCAGGGTGAGGGGAGGGAAGGGAGGGAGCGAGGAGGGGGAAGAGAGTCGAGAGGGGAGCTGAAGGCTCGGTCAAAGAGAAAGGTTTTGAGACCGGCCTTGAAGGAGGAAAGGGAGGAAGCGGCGAAGGCACTGGGGGATGGAGTTCCAGAGCCTCGGGGCTGAGAGGCTGAAGGCCCGACCACCGATGGTAGGGCGGTTGGGGCGGGGGACGTGGAGCAGACCGGAGCCAGAGGAACGGAGGGTACGGGCAGGTAGGTAGGGGGATAGTAGGTTGGAGAGGTAGGAGGGAGCAAGGCCGTGAATGGCCTTGTAGGTGAGGATGAGGATCTTGAAATCAATCCTCTGGGGGATGGGGAGCCAGTGGAGGCGAGCGAGGGTGGGAGTGATGTGGTCCCGAAGCCTGGTGCGGGACAGTACACGAGCTGCAGAGTTCTGAATGACCTGCAGCTTGTGGAGGGAGGTGGCGGGAAGGCCGGCGAGGAGAGAGTTCCCATAGTCCAGCCTTGAGGTGACAAAGGCGTGAACCAGGGTTTCAGCAGCGTGAGGGGTGAGGTAGTGCCGTAGTCTGGCGATGTTCCGGAGGTGATGGAAGGCGGTGCCAGTTGTGGTGCGGATGTGAGGGAGAAAGGACAGCTCAGGGTCGAACAAAACGCCGAGGTTCCTGACTGGCTTTGAGAGGTGGAGAGTGCAGCCTTGGATGCTGATGGTGTCAGCGCCTGAGGTGCGGAGGCGCTGACGTGAGCCAATCAGGAGGGCCTCGGTTTTTCGCACGTTGAGCTGAAGAAAGTTGTCTCTCGTCCAGGACTCGATGTCGGACAGGCAGGCTGTCAGGACATCGGTGGTCGTGGAGTTGAGAGTAGAGGAGGAAAGGTAGAGTTGGGTGTCATCCGCATACATGTGGAAGTTAACCCATGTCTGCGGATGATGTCACCAAGGGGGAGCATATAGAGGGTGAAGAGGAGGGGACCGAGGACAGAGCCCTGAGGGACACCACATGAGACAGTACGGGGGGTGGAGGAGAAGCCATTCGTCGAGACAAAGTGAAGACGGTGAGAAAGGTACGACCTAAACCATTCAAGGACAGTGCCTTGAAGGTTGAGGTGGGAGGACAAGCGGTGGAGTAGGATAGCGTGGTCGACCGTATCGAATGCTGCCGATAGGTCGAGGAGGACGAGGAGACAGAGGGAGCCCTGGTCACAGATGGTCAGGATATCATTGGTGACCTTGACCAGGGCAGTTTCTGTGCTATGGGCAGCACGGAAACCTGACTGAAGGGGTTCAAAAAGAGAATGGGTGGAAAGGAAAGAGCGCAGTTGGGAGGCGACAACTCTTTCCAAGACCTTGGAGAGAAAGGGGAGGTTGGAGATGGGCCGGTAGCTTGATAGCTGCGACGCATCAAGGGAGGGTTTTTTCAGGGTGGGCGTGATGATGGCAGTTTTTAATGGAATGGGGACAGAGCCAGAGGAGAGGGACAGGTTGATGATGTCAGTGATATGTGGGGCAAGAAAGTGGAGCTGGGAGATAAGGAGTGGAGTGGGGATGGGGTCAAGGGAGCAGGTGGTTGGTTTTAGGGATAGGATGAGTTCAGTGACAGAGGGTGGGGAAACGGGTACGAAGGTGTGTAGGGGAGGATGGGTAGGAGTCGGAGTGTGGGAGGGAAGGGGTGGGTGGTGGGTGGAAGTTGGAGGGGAAGTGACCGCGGAGCGGATTCCCTTGATCTTGGATTCAAGGAAATCCAGCATCTCCTCGCAGTGAAGGTTGGAGGAGATGACCTGCGCGGGGTGGCGGGGGGGACGGAGGAGTCGGGTTGTGGTGGAAAACAGTAGCCTGGGGTTGTTCTTCGCCTCCAGGATTATCCTGGAGTAGAAGGACGACTTGGCCGAGGCTAGAGTGGAGCGGTAAATTTTGAGGAGGTCCAGCCAGATTTGTCGGTGGACCGTTAGGCCAGATTTGACACAGGTGCGTTCAGCAGCCCGCACCTGGCTTTCAGTGAGCGGAGGTGGGTGGTGTACCAGGGGGAGGAGCGGGAGTAGGAGACAGTGCGGGAAGTGATGGGGGCAAGAGTATCGAGTGTGGAGGAGAGGTATTGTGGAGGAGGGAGAGAGGAGAAGAGGGGTCGGTGAGGGTTGAAGGCCAGAGGGAGAGGAGTTCAGAGGACTCCAAGGCATCGGTTAGGGATTGTGGGGGTAACTTCTTCCAAGGGCGGTAGAAGATGGTGGTGGGTCTGGTGGAGGTGGGGAGGGGGGTGGAGGTGGTGAAGGAGATGAAGTGGTGGTCAGAGATGGCCTTGTCGGTAATAGTGACATCCGAGACACTGAGGCCCCGGGTGATCACCAAATCGAGTGGGTGGCCGTGACTGTGAGTGGGGGAGTTTATGTGTAAGGAGAGGTTGAGTGAGGAGAGCAGGGAAGAGAAGTCTGTGGAGATGGAGCAGGAGGGGGTGAAGTGTAGGTTAAAGTCGCCCAGGATGATGAGGCGATCAGAGCAGAGGCAAAGAGATGTGAGGAGTGTTGAAATGTCAGAGATGAAGGTGGGAGAGGTTTTAGGGGGCCGGTAGAGGAGGAGGATTTTAAGGGAGAGGAATGAGGGGTGGGAGAGGGTGAGGTGCTCAAAGGAGGGGAAAGAGCCAGTGGAGTAGGGGGATAGGGCAAGTGGTGTCCTTGAGATAAGGGCAACACCACCGCCACGGCGGTTGGGGCGGGGGATGTGGTGGGAGGTGTAGCCGGGTGGCGTGGCCTCCGTGAGGGGGAAGGTGTCGCCTGGGGTGAGCCAGGTTTCTGTTAAGGCCATGATATCAACGTTCTCATCAAGGATGAGATCGTTGATGACCAGGGCCTTGTTGCAGAGGGAGCGGACATTTTGCAGTCCGATGTGGAGGGAGCGGTTGACAGAAGGGTGTGTGGGAGGGGAGGGGGGTCCAGGTTGTGAGGCAGGGGTGGGGGGATGGGGATGAGGGAGGAGAGGTTGACTCCCCGGGTCTGTGTCCGGGGTGGGTGGCGAGTGTGGTGGGGAATGGGGCAGTCGGTGTGGCTGCTGCTGGACAGCCAACGCCGAGTGCCACGGTGAGCCCGGCGGAGGATTCCCAGGCTGGGGAGGTTGTGGGAGGTTGTGGGAGGGTCAAGTGGGGATAGAAGACGAGAGGGACGGAGAGAGAGGAGGAGAGAGCGGGAGAGATGCAGAGGGGGGAGGGTTTGGGGGGAGAGAGGAGGGGGGCGGGAGGGAGGGCGTGAGGGGGCTCGGGTCAAAGCGGCAGCCATAGTGCGCACGCGGGGACCGGGAGCGAGCGGTCAGGTGGATGGCATTATCCCGTAGATTGGGGCAGCGAACCCAACAGGACCATAGTGGGCTCTGATGTGAGCCCTGGGGGGGGGAGGGGGGGCGCAGAGGGTTTTTGTTTGTTTTTTTGTGCGCGCACACGTACCTGAAAACTAATCTATGACGTCGCAGTTCCCCCGCTCCTTCCCCACACCTCCCTCCCCTCCCCCGGGGCTGAACTCGCTCCGGCGTCGAGTTTAAGTACCTGGGTCAGTAGGCCCAGGCTCCTCCCCGCGCTGTCCTGCCGCCGCTCCCCGACAGCGAGCCAGCGAGCGGAGTGGCCCAAGTCATAATGAGAATCCTTCTTTCCACCGCCCCGCGACCTCCTCCGTGGCCCCACCCTCAGGCCTCCTCAATCTTCGTATCAAATGCCAAGTGCGAGGAGCTCATGGACTTCTTTTCTTCTAAAATACTTAACATCCGCCGGGCGGCCTCATTCTCCTGCCCCTTGTCACCCACCACCACCACCACGCCCTGTCTGTCCCCCTCACTTTCCTCATCATCTGCTCCTACCACCACCCCCTTTCTACATTCCTTCCTCCCCATCTCTCCCCCCTCCCTCTCACCCACCATCATCTCTATGAAACCCACCACCTGCCGCCTCGACCCCCTCCCCACCCACTTGCTGGTCACCCAGCTCCCCCTCCTCTGCCCACTACTGGGACTGGTTGACATCATCAACCAGTTCCTCTCCTCTGGATCAATCCCTGCCTCCCTCAAAACTGTTGTCATCAGCCTCCTCCTGAAAAAACCCTCCCTGGATCCCTCAAACCCCAGCCATTACCGCCCTATTTCTAACCTGCCCTTCCTCTCAAAAATTCTAGAACGTGTTGTTGCCAATCAACTCCGCGCACATCTCTCCTCCCACTTTGAACCCCTCCAGTCCGGTTTCCGCCCACAGTACACAAAGTCACAAACGACATCCTCTCTATCTGTGACCAGGGCTCCCTCTGCCTTCTTGTCCTCCTGGACCTCTCCACCGCGTTCGACACAGTCGATCACGGCCATCCTCCTCCACCGCCTTTCCTCTGTCATCCACCTCAGTGGGACCGCACTTGCCTGGTTCGAGTCCTACCTCACAAACCGCCAGCAGTACATCTGCACAAACGGCTTCTCCTCCCGCTCTCACCCGGTCACCTGTGGGGTACCCCAAGGATCCATCCTTGGCCCCCTCCTCTTTCTGATCTACATGCTCCCTCTTGGGGACGTCATCCTCTGCACCCCCCTACCTCTCTGACCTCCTCTCTCCTCAAAACAGTACCTGTTGCCTTCATTCCTCCGGGTTTGGCCTCCTCCTCATCCCTCGAGTCCTCCACTCCACCCTCGGCGGCCGTGCCTTCAGCCACTATGCCCCGAGGCTCTGGAACTGCCTTCCTCACTCCCTTCGTCTCGCTCCCTTCCCATTTTCAGGTCTCTGCTGAAGACCTTTCTTTTCGACCGCGCCTTTGGTCACCTTCCTCCCCCTCCCCCTGGCTCGGTCCCGGGATCCGTTACTGTAAAGCGCTCTGAGACGTCGTCCGGCGTGAAGGGCGCTATATAAATCCAGGTTGTTGTTGTTGTAACTGCTTTGCAGAATCATAGCATGTTACAGCACAGAATCAGGTCATTTGGCCCATCCAAGGTGGATGTGGGTTAGTGTTACTCTTAACGTGAGCCTCTTAACCTAATGCCACTTTCCTATGAGTTCCCCATATAGCACCTTATCACATCTTTAAGACATCTCAAAACACTTCACAAAATGTACTGTAAAGTGAGTTGACTGTATATTTTGTGTGCAAAACACGACAGCCAATTGCACACAGCAGTGTCCCACAAATAGTCGTGGATTGAGTGACCAAATTATTATAATATTTAAAAAAAAAAAAGTTTTGAAGGGATTGTTACCCCCAGAAAAGCGATCTGCCAATCGACTAACAACCAGATTCCTACTTGGTAAACAGTAGCGTGTGGAGTAAGGAAACTTCCCTAACATTTTGCCCTGCCCAGGAATCAAACCCAGATCCTCTTGCTTGTGAGGCAAGTGTTCTAAGCACTAAGCTACAGGACTCCACAACTGCAAAAGATGAATGGGGTACAGTCGAAGATTTTTATTTATTTTGGTTATTTTGCCTGCAAAATGCACAGTCATCACACCTAACAGTGAATCCTGTGAATCACTTTGAGACATCCTTTCCATGTGAAAAGCATTGAAACAAATGCAAAGATTAGCTGTAATATTTCCCTTAAAAGCAATGGAAATCATTGCCTTCCCAATGATATCAAATAACTTGTCTAGGTTCTGGATAAAATAAGAATAAACCGAGAGGAGGTACTAAAAAGGTTGTCGGTGCTCAAATCACACGGTCCGGACGCAATGCATCCTAGGTTACGAGGGAAGGGTGGAAATAACGGAGGGTCTGGCCACGATCCTTCATTCCTCCTTGGACACCGGGGTGGTGCCAGAGGACTGGAGGGTTGTGAATGTTATTCCCCTGTACAAAAAGGGGGAGAAGGATAAACCTGGGAACTACAGGCCAGTCAGCCTAGCGTCAGTAGTGGGGAAATTTCTAGAGACTATAATCCAGGACAAAATAAATTTTCACTTAGAAAAATATGGGTTAATAAAGGACAGCCAACACGGATTTGTTAAGGCAAATCATGTCTAATATGCTAAGTTTTTTGATGAAGTAACGGAGAGGGTCAATGGTGGGTGGGTCGGTAACCCGAGGGTACCGATTTAAAAGAGTTGTTAAAAGAAACAGAAGGGAGCTGAGGAGAATTTTTTTCACACAGTGAGTTGTTCGGATCTGGAAGATCTGAAATGCATTGCCTGAAAGGGTGGTGGAAGCCGATTCGATAACAACTTTTAAGAGAGAAGTAACTAATTATTTGGGGAGAACAAGTTTGCAGGGCTATGGGGAGAGCGCAGGGGAATGGAATTGAATTGGATAACTCTTTTCAAGGAGCCGGCATAGATGAGATGGGCCGAATGGCCTCCTTCTGTGCTGTGTAATTCTATGATTTTATGATTCAAACATGAAGTGTGTCCGCTTGGCGAGGTGCTGGGGATCCAATTTGCTTGTAGAGTTATACACTAGTATGTATTGCAAGAGTTCAGAAGTAAGAGGAGAAGATCAAAGCAGGTGATCAAATAACATGGGTCTGTTTTGTGATAAAATCGATTATGCAGCTCATTTGAATACAGAATTCTTTGTCTTTTATGAGTCATTATTTAGTTTTCAGTATATGAGTATTGACAGGGATATATTTTTATCTGAGTATTATGCTCGACGCAAACATTATTGTGCCTTAGAAGTTCAAAGAAGAATAGATGATTATCCTAAATTTGATTTTACAATGCTGTTAGAGAAAAATAAATTGTATGGTATTGCAGCATTACTTTGATCAGTTCATGCTGAGAGACCAATAATGTATGTTTAAACAACTGAGCAGTTCATGGAATCAGGGAATCTCACAGCACAGAAGGAGGCCATTCAGCCCATCGTGCCTGTGCCTGTGGCGACTCTTTGAAAGAGCTATCCACTAGTCCCACTCCCCTGATCTTGCTCCATAGCCTACAGTTTTTTCCTTTTCAAGTACCCATACAATTCCCTTTTGAAACCAACAATGAATTTGCTATCACCACATCTTTCCGAAAGTGCATTCGAGATCATAACAATTCTCTGGGTAAATAAAATTCTCCTCGTCGCCCCTTTGGTTCTTTTGGCAATTATCTTTAATCTGTGTCCTCTGGTTACCGACCCACCTATCTACTCACCTATCTAATCGAAATCCCTCATAACTTTGAGCACCTCTTTTAAATCTTCCCTCAACCTTCTCAGCTCTGAGGAGAACAATCCCAGTCTCTCTAGTCTCCATATAATATGAAGTCCCTCATCCCTGGTATCAATCTCGTAAATGATAATTGCTTTGTATTGTACATTTGAAAAAGGAAGCATTAAGTGTAAATTCAATGAATATTTGAACCCATAAACAATCAGCAATTTAAAAGAACACTGATAATAATTGCCACTGTTCCTGAATTTAAATCTATTTTGTTGGTACTATATCTGATCTGTGTGTAAGATGCAATGTTTTTATATCCTGTCTCTTACATTGCGTGTATAAGGGCAGCAGTAATAAATTATTGATCAGTTTTGTAAATAGGATTCATGCATCATTTAGTATAAGTTAAAGTTGGGGAAGAATTATTGTTTTTTCCTCAGAAAGCTACAGCTAAGCTCTATTTTATTACTGCTGTGCTTGCACTTAAAATGATTGATATTTCTTAAAGATGAGGGGATGAGAATTGAAATAGCGAAGAATCCATGTTTTATACCTTTCAGATTTGTAGTATCAATGGATGGACAACAAAACCCAACTGACTGGAATGGTCTTAGAGAATTCTTGCTGCCTTTTCCTGTTTCAAATGCTTGTACTCCTCTGATCCTCCTTTCTGTGAGCGCTTTGAGAAGCTACCTGTGTGAAGAATATTATATAAATATATATGGTTGTTGAAGAAACCAGTGATATTCTTACTGGCTCTAACGTTTCACACCTAATTCTACTGAGTCTGTCAAATTGCTCTCCGCAGTGCAACCCACAACTTCATCCATAATAGTAACCATCGTCTGATAACATCTCATTCACATCTACACTGGGTTAAACAAGTGGATTAGTTATCATCTTTTTTGATCCTGTACTGATTGCAGGCCAACAGGTTTTGAGCTGAGTGATAACAATTTATTGCACGTTTGGAAGATATAATGTTCTCAGTTAATTGCTTTTAAAAAAATTACTGGCAGCATTTTGAGTGTAAAACAGAGTTTGTATACCAAAGGGGGATATTTAGCAGCTTATTTAAATGGATGCATAACAGTGTAAATTAAACATGCTGTTGTTTTAAACATTTTGTAGGTCAAGAAATGGCAGATTGTGTGACTAAAGTTGAACTGAGCATCTCTTGTCTAAATCTACTGGATAAAGATGTTGGTTCCAAGAGTGATCCGCTTTGCGCAGTCCTCATGAATACAACTGGAAATTATTGGGTTGAGGTAAGTCATTCTAAACTGTTGTGATGCAAGACTTGAGTGAAGGTTAGGTCCCTTAACTTAAAAAAAAGATTGATTACTTCATGTTTGCTTGAGAAACAACAACAACAACAAGATTGCATTTATAGAGCGCCTTTCACGTCAGGAGGACACCGCAAGGCGCTGGACATGGGTCGGGACCTGAGCAGGGGGGAAATGGTCAGGGTAAGGGGAGGGAAGGGAGGGAGGGAGCGAGGAGGGGAGGGAAGGGAGGGAGCGAGGAGGGGGTAGAGAGTCGAGAGGGGAGCTGAAGGCACGGTCGAAGAGAAAGGTCTTGAGACCGGTCTTGAAGGAGGAAAGGGAGGAAGCCGCGAAGGCACTGGGGGACAGAGTTCCAGGGCCTAAGGGCTGAGAGGCTGAAGGCCCGGCCACCGATGGTAGGGCGGTTGGGGCGGGGGATGTGGAGCAGACCGGAGCCAGAGGAACGGAGGGTACGGGCGGGTAGGTAGGGGGATAGTAGGTCGGAGAGGTAGGAGGGAGCAAGGCCGTGAATGGCCTTGTAGGTGAGGATGAGGATCTTGAATTCGATCCTCTGGGGGATGGGGAGCCAGTGGAGGCGAGCGAGGGGTGGGAGTGATGTGGTCGCGAAGCCTGGTGCGGGACAGTACACGAGCTGCAGAGTTCTGAATGACCTGCAGCTTGTGGAGGGAGGTGCCGGGAAGGCCGGCGAGGAGAGAGTTCCCATAGTCCAGCCTTGAGGTGATGAAGGTGTGGACCAGAGTTTCAGCAGCGTGAGGGGTGAGGTAGTGCCGTAGTCTGGCGATGTTCCGGAGGTGATGGAAGGCGGTGCCAGTTGTGGTGCGGATGTGGGGAAGAAAGGACAGCTCAGGGTCGAACAGAACGCCGAGGTTCCTGACCGGCTTTGAGAGGTGGAGAGTGCAGCCTTGGATGCTGATGCTGTCAGTGTCAGAGGTGCGGAGGCGCTGACGTGAGCCAATCAGGAGGGCCTCAGTTTTGCGCACGTTGAGCTGAAGAAAGTTGTCTCTCGTCCAGGACTCGATGTCGGACAGGCAGCTGTCAGGACATCGGTGGTCGTGGAGTTGAGGGTAGAGGAGGAAAGGTAGAGTTGGGTGTCATCCGCATACATGTGGAAGTTAACCCCATGTCTGCGGATGCTGTCACCAAGGGGGAGCATATAGAGGATTAGAGGAGGGGACCGAGGACCGAGCCCTGAGGGACACCGCACGAGACAGTGCGGGGGCTGGAGGAAAAGCTGTTTGCAGAGACAAAATGAAGACGGTGGGAGAGGTACGACCTAAACCACTCAAGGACAGGGCCTTGAAGGTTGAGGTGGGCGGACAAGCGGTGGAGGAGGATAGAGTGGTCGACTGTATCGAATGCGGCCGATAGGTCAAGGAGGACGAGGAGGCAGAGGGAGCCCTGGTCGCAGATGGTCAGGATGTCATCAGTGATCTTGACCAGGGCGGTTTCTGTGCTATGGGCAGCACGGAAACCCGACTGGAGGGGTTCGAAAAGTGAGTGGGTGGAGAGGAAAGAGCGCAGTTGGGAGGCGACAACTCTTTCAAGGACCTTGGACAGGAAGGGGAGGTTGGAGATGGGCCGGTAGCTTGATAGCTGCGACGCATCAAGGGAGGGTTTTTTCAAGGTGGGAGTGATGGTGGCAGTTTTTAAGGGAATGGGAACAGAGCCAGAGGAGAGGGACAGGTTGACGATGTCTGTGATATGTGGGGCAAGGAGGTGGAGCTGGGAGATAAGGAGTGGAGTGGGGATGGGGTCAAGGGAGCAGGTGGTAGGTTTCAAGGACAGGATGAGGTTGATGACAGAGTGTGAGGAAACGGGTTCGAAGGTGTGTAGGGGCGGATGGGTAGGAGTCGGAGTGTGGGAGGGAAGGGGTGGGTGGTGGGTGGAAGTTGGAGGGGCAGTGACTGCGGAGCGGATTCCCTTGATTTTGGATTCAAGGAAATCCAGCATCTCCTCGCAGTGAAGGTTGGAGGAGATGACCTGCGCGGGGTGACGGGGGGAATGGAGGAGTCGGGATGTGGTGGAGAACAGAAGCCTGGGGTTGTTCTTCGCCTCCAGGATTATCCTGGAGTAGAAGGACGACTTGGCCGAGGCTAGAGTGGAGCGGTAGATTTTGAGGAGGTCCAGCCAGATTTGCCGGTGGACCATTAGGCCAGATTTGAGGCAGGTGCGTTCAGCGGCCCGCCCCTGGCTCTTCAGTGAGCGGAGGTGGGTGGTGAACCAGGGGGAGGAGTGAGAGTAAGAGACGGTGAGGGGGGCAAGAGTGTCGAGTGTGGAGGAGAGGGTGTTGTGGAGGAGGGTGAGAGCAGAAGAGGGGTCAGTGAGGGTTGAAGGCCAGAGGGAGAGGAGTTCAGAGGACTCCAAGGCAGCGGTTAGGGATTGTGGGGGTAACTTCTTTCAGGGGCGGTAGAAGATGGTGTGGGTCTGGTGGAGGTGGGGAGGGGGGTGGACGTGGTGAAGGAGATGAAGTGGTGATCAGAGACAGCCTTGTCGGTAATGGTGACATCTGAGACTTTGAGGCCCCGAGTGATCACCAAATCAAGTGGGTGGCCGTGAATGTGAGTGGCGGAGATGATGTGGAGGGAGAGGTTGAGCGAGGAGAGGAGGGTGGAGAAGTCCGAGGAGATGGAGCAGGAGGGGGTGAAGTGCAGGTTGAGGTCGCCCAGGATGATAAGGCGATCAGAGCAGAGGCAAAGAGATGTTAGTAGGGTAGAAATATCGGAGATGAAGGTGGGAGAGGTTTTAGGGGGCCGGTAGAGGAGGAGGATTTTAAGGGAGAGGAATGAGGGGTGGGAGAGGGTGAGGTGCTCAAAAGAGGGGAAAGAGCCAGAGGAGTAGGGGGATAGGGCAAGTGGTGTCCTTGAGATAAGGGCGACACCACCGCCACGGCGTTTGGGGCGAGGGATGTTGTGGGAGGTGTAGCCGGGTGGCGTGGCCTCCGTGAGGGGGAAGGTGTCGCCTGGGGTGAGCCACGTTTCAGTTAAGGCCATGATATCAACGCTCTCATCAAGGATGAGATCGTTGATGACCAGGGCCTTGTTACAGAGAGAAGCGGACATTTTGCAGTCCGATGTGGAGGAAGCGGTTGACAGAAGGGTGTGTGGGGAGGGAGGGGGGTCCAGGTTGTGAGGCAGGGGTGGGGGCAATGGGGATGAGGGAGGAGAGGTTGACTCCCCGGGTCTGTGTCCGGAGTGGCTGGCGAGTGTGGTGGGGAATGGGGCAGTCGGTGTGGCTGCTGCTGGACAGCCAACGCCGAGTGCCATGGTGAGAGGATTCCCAGGCTGGAACAGAGGGAGGTTGTGGGAGGGTCAAGTGGGGATAGAAGGCGAGGGGGACGGAGCGGGAGAGATGCAGAGAGGGGAGGGTTTGGTGGGATGAGAGAAGGGGGGACGGAGGGAGGGGGGGAGGGGGGGGGGGCTCGGGTCAGAGCGGCAGCCATAGAGCGCACGCGGAGACTGGGAGCGAGCGGTCAGGTGGGCGACATTAGCCCATAGGCTGTGGCTGGGGCAGCCAACCCAACAGGAACACAGTGTTCCCTGGTGCGAGCCCGAGGGGGGGCGCAGAGGATTTTTTTTTTTTTTGTTTGTTTTTGTACATATCTGTACATAAATCAGCTGCTTTTTGCCTACAAAATATAGTTACTCACTTTATTATAAAAATACTGAAGCAGTTTCAGACGTTTCACCCTGATAACTTTGCTTTTGTCAGGCGTCTAGTAATTGCAGAATGTTTTCATTTTTCTTAGATTGGCCGCACAGAACGCGTCCAAAACTGCCTGGACCCCAAGTTTTCCAAGAAGATCCTGGTAGATTATTACTTCGAGCAGATTCAGAAACTGAAGTTTGCAGTTTATGATATTGACAATAAAACCATTGACTTAAGCGATGACGATTTCCTGGGAGAATTTCAATGTACTCTGGGGCAGGTATGCATAAATCTTTCCTATTGATCATTATTCCTTTGGGTCGCTAAATTGAATCTATTTAATAAGAATTATGGGAAAAATTACAAAGCTTAATGTATCTCTATAATGTTAAGAAAGTAATTCATTGTGTTCTGTAAGAAGAAAACTAAGGTTGAAGGTTTAACTCTGGGAATAATGTTCCACAATATTATTTTCAAGGATGAGATGAAACCTATTTTTACTGTTTGCTGTATATAATGCATGTGTTAATAAATCAATGCAAAACATGCTATTGTTTCATTCCATCAGTTGATTTCAGTAAAATACGTAATTAAAACGTGAGACGTCTGATAATAACCAAATAATATTTCCAGGTTCAGTGGACAGCCCAGTATCCCCACTAATCGGTACAGAGCTATAAGGTCACAATGCAGAATACAATAATACTGGTTAATAAAAAAAATTAATAATAATCTTTGGACAGCAAACTTATGATAACGTGTCACTCCCAAGGGAAAATAAGTGACGAGTTATCCAGAGTGGTGTTAGGCATATGTATAAATACCTAAATAAATGCAGCTAGGATACACTGTTATGTATCCTTAGATATCATTTCCTAACAAAAATCTAATTTGTTCTCGAAAGAATCAACACTTTATTTCTTACACATCAGTAGGACATTTTAATGAGCTTCATAGGATTTACTGTAAAATGTAGTGACTGTATATTTTGTATACGAATGCAAGAGCAAATTTGCACAATGTCCCACAACAATCATGAAATGAAACACCATGTTTAGCTGAGGGATGGTTGTCCAAGACATGAGAAAAAACTCCCTTCTTTTTTAAATAGTGCCACGGGATCTTTAATGACTGCCCGGCACTTTGAAGTGTCAGCCTAGACTGAGCTTAAAGTCCCGAAGTGAGGGTTGAACCACAACTTCTAACTCTGAGACAAGAGTGCTGAGCCAGGCTAACGCAATATTCAGTACTAATGAACACCTTCGATCAGGAGATGTCACTATAGTACCACACGTTGCCAGATCTTCTCTTGCTTTTTCCCTCTCACTCTATCTTACTCTCTCTGATGCTGACTCTCACTATCACCATCTCTTCATTCTTGACCCTTCCCACTTTGCTCTTGTTTCCACTCTGTTATTTGCTTCGAAGCGTTATTCTATGTGAGGGGTTGTATTTGGGTGATATAAAAAACAGTTGACAAATGTACCAATATGTGATTATGTAAGATATTACACAAATATCACCTGTAAAAAAAGAATGTACTTTATGGTATTCCTCCCAATACAGCCTTATTTCAGTGACATTTTTTTTGGCAGATTGTCTCCAACAGGAAACTGACCAGACCCCTTTTGCTACGTAACGGGAGACCTGCAGGAAAAGGAACAATCACGGTATAGACCTAACTCTCTCCATATTCAGTGGTCGGGGATAACCCAGAGGGAGTGAATACAACACTAGGAACATTTAATGGTTTATTAGACTAAAATAGTGGATATTAGCAAAATCTTCAGATTGATATATGTATTCACTGTCACAGTTGCATAAATGCAAGCTCCCTGTCAAGCAGAATGATTTGTATCAGTATTGTTGGTTTCTCTAAGCAGAAACAGCATGTCAAATATTACTGATTTTAAAATTGCAAGAAAGCAAGATATGCAAAATTAGAACTAATCTGAATGAAATTGGCCAGTGGGGGGAAAGCTAAAATGGGATTCTCTGGGTTTGAGCTGGCTTCATGTTGATGTGTATTGATTTTGATACCTACCTTGCATTTCTTTTGACCTTTTAGATTAACATGCAGTAAATTTGCATAGGTCTTATCTTTATAAATCATATAATTGACTAAATCATACATTCACCCGAGACCCGTTAAGTTTCCTATCAAAACCACTTAGATTTATGTGCACCACTCGTATTAATCACCTCCTAACTTATAACGCTGCTCCCCTACCCTCCATTACTCCCGCATTTCCCGGCTGCCTTGAATCGTGGGAAATGTAATCTTGATCTGTGGACTCTTGTGCAGAACAACTTCATTTGCAATGATTCAATAAGATGCCAATGACCCATTGAATTGTGGGAAATGTAGTCTTCACCTGTCACTGCATCCACACTTGCCAGCTTCCTTGAATTATGCATGAGCCATACAGATTATTGATTAAATCAGATTTTATACTGTTTGACTGCAACTCAGATTTTGTGTAAGTCATATTAAATGTCATGGTCCTGACTGACTCGATATATGTGAGTTTTATTGTATTTGTGCTGAACCCTGAAAATTTGAACATATAACAGTGTCCACGCTCATCTTTTTCATCAATTGTGGATTAATGTATATTTTTTCTGGTTTGTAATTTACTCTCCATTTGATGCACTAGATATTTGCAGAAGAGGTGAAAGATAACCGAGTGGTGAACTTTGAAGCACAAGCACGAAATCTGGATAATAAGGTAAGTTTAAAAATTAATAGGATTGATGCATTGAATCCAATCTTAGGGAGTCAAATTTTAGCAGACTAGATTTGATGTGATGCTTCTGTTTGCTAATATTGATAGCCTTCTAAATGTGATATTCACAAACTGGCAAATCATGAGTTCTGAAAGAAAGCGGGCGAAGTGTGAAAGAAAGTCTGGAAAGTAATGCGGCTACTGATGGATTTCTAAGCAGTAACCTGTGCTGTTTCATTTCCAACACCTGTGATGGTGGTGGTTAGGATTTCTTCGGAAAATCAGATCCTTATTTGGAGTTCTACAGACTGAATGAGGATGGAAAGTGGCAGATGGTGCACAGAACAGAGGTAAGGGATGTTTTCAAAGACAAAAAGATAACTGATCTCTTCTACGTTTTAGTAGGAAGAATATGGCTTGGGAGAGCATCTGTGATTGATATACTCTTTAGTTTTTCCCTTTCCTTTCCAGAAAATCCATCTGGTTTTAATCCGCATCCACCGCCACACCTCTCACCTTAACCTTCATGGCTCTGTCTTGACTGGTTCAGATCGTACTCACACCGCCTCCACTTCATCTCCACAAATGATTTCTCCTCTAGCTCCCGCATTGTCTTGTGCGACATTTCTCAGGGCTCTGTCCTTGGTCCCCTCCTCTTCAATATCTATATGCTCCTTCTTGGTGACATCATCCGCAAACAGAGGGTCAACTTCCACATGTATGCGGATGACACCCAACTCTACCTCTCTGCCTCCACTCTTGACTTCAGGATCACTGCTGTCCTGACAGAATATCTGTCAGACACCAAGTCCTGAATGAGAGCTAACTTTCTTCAGACCGAGGCTCTCCTGATTGGCTCCCATCAGCGCCTTCACAGCTCAGGCGCTGACAGCATCACCATCTATAGTTGCGCACTCCACCTTGCTAAGCTAGTCCAGAACCTTGGCTTCTTGTTTGACGCTCAACTATCCTTTCTACCCCACATCTGCGCCATGACCCACTCTGCCTTCCCCCACCTCCGCTGCATCGCCCAGCTCCTGCACTGTTTTACACCACAGGCCGCCAAGACCAAGATGCTTTCATTACGTCAGAGCTTGACTGCAAACACCTTGCTTGTCGTCAGGCGGTGGTAAGAGTATAGAGTTTATTGCATGAGATGAAACATAAGGTTTAACAATCTGTAATTAAATTATGCTACATATAACAACACAATAACAGTACAAAACATCTATGTGAGCAAAACATTTACCACACAGCATGCACACAGGGGTAATTCTTTTAGCCATTTAACTATCAAACCTGAAACATTCACTTGCTGTTTGAAATATACCAAGGCACTCTGAGGTGATAGTCGGTATATTTCAACATTGTCAGCTTCCCCAACTCTTCCCGCCCCTCCCTCCCACCCCGGTTGCAGCTGAAATTGGGTATATATTTTTGAAAGAATCAAAATGACATTTGTGACGCTGCATATGCTGTGTTAGTTTACTCTCTGTTGTATTTTACAGGTTATAAATAATAATTTGAATCCCAGTTGGAGACCCTTTAGAATTCCATTGCGGTCTCTGTGCAGCGGTGATTTGCAGAAGTCTGTCAAGGTATTCTCACATATTTTCTCTATAGAGGCAAATAATGTGGGGCTGAACAACCCTTTGGCTTGAGGGAGAATGATTTCTCTCTCAGGCTTTTCAGAATGCAAATGGATGTCTGTTATTTTATTTTATTGATGGCCTGAGATTTTAATTCCCAGACCCTTGAATGGCTTTTCAACTTGCAAAAAAGATGCAAAATTGATTCTCTCAATGTTGGAACAAAATCCTTGCCTGCTTTTTTTAGAAACAAAAGCTGATGTTTCTCTGTATGTGTAAGCTGAGATGGTTTCAATTTAAAGAACTGGGTTTATAGCTCCTCCAATGGCCTTGATGGTAATGGTTAATTCCAAAACTCTGCAGCTTATCTTCTCTCACGCACCAGTCCCCGCGACCCCATCACTCCCACCCTGGCCCGACTCCACTGGCTCCCCATCCCCAGAGGATCAAGTTCAAGATCCTCATCCTCACTTTTAAGGCCATCCATGGCCTTGCACCCTCCTACCTCTCTGACCTGCTGACTTCCTAACCAGCCCGCTCCCTCCGTTCAGCGGACTCTGGCCTGCTCCATGTCTCCCGCCCGACCCGCCCTACCCTCAGTGACTGGGCTTTCAGCTTCTCTGCCGCCACACTCTGGAACTCCATTCCATGCGTCCCTTCGCCTCGCTTCCTCCCTTGCCTCCTTCAAGGCCGGTCTCAAGACTCTTCTCTTCGATCATACCTTTGGTCGCCCTGCCACCTCTCTGCCTTCGCTGACCCCTAAACCACACCTCGCCCATGCTCGGGCCCCTACACCTGATTGTCCAGCGCTTTGGGACGTCCTCCTGACGTGAAAGGAGCTCTATAAATGTAATTTTGTTGTTGTAATGCCATCATCAGGCTATACAGATCTGAAACTGATAACTTTGAATCTGTCTATGCTGATAGTGCAGTTGGGGGTGTTACAACTGACTGAAAAAAATACCAGTCAGGGTTATTCATTGCTGTCTTACTGAAATTTATGGATATAGGTGAGGACAGTATAGGGCTTATATATGATTACCCTGCAGTTAGACAGCCTCCTACCAACACTCACTATCAAGCTTCACACATGAATCAATAGGTGATGTAACAAAGCTTATAGGGACTGCACTCTTGGATCCATAACCCAGTGGAAATAAATTTGAGTCATATGTTTTTATGAGAAGACACTTAAATTGGCTGGATATTATTCTTGTGTGGTAGATGAGTGTTCTGCTGCAGATATGCAGTAAACATAGAAACACGAGAAGGCCATTCAGCTCCTCGAGCCTGTTCCGCCATTCTATAAGATCATGGCTGATCTGTACCTCAATTCCAATTACCCTCCCCTGCGCCATATCCTTTGATACCCTGATAAATATGAAGTAAGATCAAGGAATTTCAAAAAAATGAGAGTACTGTGACAGCTTCTTGTGGGCACCATTGGAGCACAAGTTCTATTACTGTCAGTACTTGTGAAAATGTCAGACTCTTAGCTCTGTTGCAGAAGAACTGTTGTTTTGTAGCATTAATCTATTAATTGAATTTTTTCAGGTGGAATGCTACGACTATGATAATGATGGATCACATGATCTGATTGGTATATTTGAGACTAACATGGATAGGATGAACGCAGCATCCCATAATTCCCCAGTAAGTTTTCATTGTCTATTCTTTCTGTTCAGGTGTAAGGTGCAACATTTGGCTCGCCATTTAACTACCCTCCCCCTTCATAGTCACAAACAGTATCCTGTGTGCTGTCTCCTCCCATATTATTTCTTTGTCATATTTAAGTTTCCTGTAATTTTGGTAATTCATCTTGAATCCCCTCCTTTTCACCCTCTATATGCTCCCCCTTGGTAACATCATCCGCAGACATGGGGTTAACTTCCACATGTATGCGGATGACACCCAACTCTACCTTTCCTCCTCTACCCTCAACTCCACGACCACCGATGTCCTGACAGCCTGCCTGTCCGACATCGAGTCCTGGACGAGAGATAACTTTCTTCAACTCAACATGCGCAAAACTGAGGCCCTCCTGATTGGCTCACGTCAGCGCCTCCGCACCTCAGGCTCTGACACCATCAGCATCCAAGGCTGCACTCTCCACCTCTCAAAGCCAGTCAGGAACCTCGGTGTTCTGTTCGACCCTGAGCTGTCCTTTCTCCCTCATATCTGCGCCACAACTGGCACTGCCTTCCATCACCTCCGGAATATCGCCAGACTACGGCACTACCTCACCCCTCACGCTGCTGAAACTCTGGTCCATGCCTTTATCACCTCAAGGCTGGACTATGGGAACTCTCTCCTCGCCGGCCTTCCCGCCACCTCCCTCCACAAGCTGCAGGTCATTCAGAACTCTGCAGCTCGTGTACTGTCCCGCACCAGGCTTCGGGACCACATCACTCCCACCCTCGCTCGCCTCCACTGGCTCCCCATCCCCCAGAGGATCGAATTCAAGATCCTCATCCTCACCTACAAGGCCATTCACGGCCTTGCTCCCTCCTACCTCTCTGACCTACTATCCCCCTACTTACCTGCCCGTACCCTCCGTTCCTCTGGCTCGGGTCTGCTCCACATCCCCCGCCCCAACCGCCCTACCATCGGTGGCCGGGCCTTCAGCCTCTCAGCCCCTAGGCTCTGGAACTCTATCCCCCAGTGCCTTCGCCTTGCCTCCTCCCTTTCCTCCTTCAAGGCCGGTCTCAAGACCTGTCTCTTTGACCGTGCCTTCAGCTCCCCTCTCGACTATCTACCCCCTCCTCGCTCCCTCCCTCCCTTCCCTCCCCTCACCCTGACCATTTCCCCCTTGCTCGGGTCCTGACCCAACTGTCCAGCGCCTTGGGACATCCTCCCGACGTGAAAGGCGCTCTATAAATGGAATCTTGTTGTTGTTGTTTTTTTAAACAAATTCTCAATCATCTGTAAAATTCCACCCTTGAACTAGTTATCGGAAATGCATGAGGTTGACTTGCTGTCCGGTTTAATGAAACCATTTCCCGTCTCTGTAGGGAAGTATTGTGCTACCAATGCAAAAGCTTTCTTTCCACAGGTGACAATGGTGAGAACTTGTATCCATCACTTTTATAATGTATGTGAATTGGCACTCTTGACCCTGGGACTCTTAATACTATTTAAAATGATGGGAGTGATGATACAAAGATACTCAAGTGGTTCAGTATTTGATGCCCCAAAACGTAGTAAGGTTCAGAGGTCTGCTACCAATATATAACCTAATTTGATGATTTTTATTAAATGCAGGCATAATGTGAGTGGAGTCAGTGTAGACGAGCTTAAATCTTATCTACCTTAAATATTGACCAATTTATGGTCTGATGTTTGCTGTGCACCACACAAATCTACAGACTTTTGACCGAGAGATTTATTTTGCAGAGTGACGAAATAAGCCTACATCTCAATCTATCTTTGATAGGAACTAATCTGCCCATCAGAGCCATGTGGTTAACCAGATCCGTCTTGTTCTCAGAACTAATAAGCTTCACATGAGACTGGAAAGTTTTTATTTCTCCCTCTGTTGCAGTATTGGAAATGTAATACGTACTGCAGTACATTACAAGAGTGCCAGTCATAGCAGGTGCCCCACATGATTCAAGTCATGTAAAAAGAACAAGATGATTATTGGTTAGGAATGGTATTGAATGTTGCAGGAATTATTTACATGATTAAAAATAATGGATTACTCCATGAAGTAATTTCCCATGGTGCTGGAAGGCTGAGCTGGTGGAGACATGGTGAAAAATATTCAGCAATTTTGCTCAATTACCTTGCAAATGAAATTTTACAAAACTTTCTCTGGGATTAAATGAATGGGTAGAGTCCATGAGAGGGTAAATGGTTCCTGAAGGTGTTGAATGGAAATAGCCTTTTGTTTCATACATGTATTTTGTTTGTGTTGTAGTCCCATAGCTATACTGACAGATTATTGAATGTATTCAGAGGATTGGATCACCAGTCAGTTGAGGTTCTGGCTACTATTTAGGGTTAAGACTGGAAGGCCTCTTTTCTTTTGTATTACTACAGCAAGCTCACGCTGCCACCTGACTACATGTTTGTGTAGCTGTCCCGCTGTGTCACAAACCCAGTGGCCACTAGTGTAATTGCATTTTGCACAATCAAAGAAGTTCAGATGAAGAAGGCTCTTTGGTCCTTTTGGCCCTCTTCCAAAATCTCACCTTGTCGTCTTCCCTTTACAACTCCAAGCTGTTCCTTAAATCAGTCCAGTAGTGTGCTACATTGTGCAAAATACCAGCCTCCATTAACAAAGAAGCAACAAGAGTAAATGATTCTGACATGTTGCCATGTAAATCTACATTAGACACAACACAAGATCACAAGAGATGTTCGGATGAAGAAAACACTTTGGCCTATTTGATTTCATCCTTCCAGAATACCCACCCTACTCATGCTTCTATCACAGAATCAAAGTTTTTTTTAAAAAAGAGTCCCATTCCCTGGTCTCAACCCTGGCTTTGTTTATTGTTGTGTACACTGTTTAGACGTAGTAAGCCATAAGTCAGTTACCTCCCCAAAATCTCTTTCAGCTTCCTCCTTGGCATATTCTACCCCAATTGCAGTTCCTCTCACGTGCAAATTGAATTAAAGTCCTGTTTCTAGAATACACAGTTGCAGTAAATAATGTATGTAAATATGATGACTCATACGGTTGAAGAAGATAGTTTTTATATGTTCTGCTTTATTATTGATGAGATCTGGTGCGTTGTTTTTTATTATTGAGCCCACATTTAATTTTCACAAGATTATCCTATTGATTTCACTTTGGAATAAATGTATTCCATTTCTGCTCCCCTGTGTGAAGGATGCTATAAAAGTGCAAGTTGTAGTTCTCAAATTTCACAAGTGAATTCGCCTATCTTCAGTTGGCAACTTTCAGATTCTTGGCTAATTTAGTAGATAGAAAATCTGCTAAATTAGCCAAGGACGTAGTGAAGATTAGGATGGATTCATCCTGCCGAATCCCAAAACCCACTCGTGGATTGACAGAGGAAGGAGAGAAACAGTTAAGTACTGTATGGGATGATTTGTCTTGATGCTTTCATTTCTGTTTCCCATCTCCACTACTCTGAGCACCAAGCTTAATAAATTGCTATATTATTGCACTTGCTCTTCAGTGTAGAGTTTCACACTGTAGTAATTCAGTGGTCTTGTGGTATTGTATTGCGTAGTGACATTTGTCATGGTGCCGATTCTCTTGCAGGCAGAGTTTGAGTGCATTAATCCAAAGAAGAAACAGAAAAAGAAAAGTTACAAAAACTCGGGGATAGTGAGTTTCAAACTGTGCCAGGTATGTATTGATAGAGCTTTTACTGTTGCACATTAAATCAAATATTTTAGGGAAACTGCCCCTTGGGTAAAGGAAATTGTAAACAAACAACATTTAAAAAGAACCTATAACTATCTGGCTAAAAATGGAATTAAAGGTTATAGCAAAACATTGTTGATTGATAACATTAAATGTCCATGGGTCATGATGTCTCAATTACTGTTAGAGGAAGAGAGAAGTGTTCCTATGGAGGAGACTAAGCCAAAGTTGACCCCTGCAGATGCAGGTAGATTGATATTCTGGATTTTCTTGACTTGATTTGGGGATAACGGGCTATTTATGCAGCGATCTACCTTTTTTTGAATGCCTTCTGTGGAAGCAGTTGGCTTGATGGGACTAAATGCTCTTCTCTCATGCTCTAAACTTTGACTGCATACTCGTTGCAAATAACTTTTTATTAAGACACATATTACAGCAGAAAGTTGCCAAATCACAGAATGTTTAGAGCGCTAAGAATTTTCACCTTTAATTTACAGATTGTGAAGGAGTACTCGTTTCTGGACTACATTATGGGTGGATGTCAGATGAACTTTACTGTAAGTAAACTGGTTCTGTTGGATATCATCTAGTCTGTCAGGAATGGGTAGGACTATATAAAGTAGGACTAAGATTTGGAGGGTAAATATATCCTATTGCCAGTGCCTTTATGAAAGCCTTAGGCTGCATTATACCATCAGACACTGTTTTTCTTTTTTTTTAAAAAACTAGTCTTTTGGAGCATTAGTAAGGAGTCGTGTATTTATCACGAACCAGTTATCTTCTGATATAAAGTTAAAACTTTCATAAGGCTTGTGAAAACTGAAATTATAGTTTTTGGTTTGGGTTAAGTGCAAGACTGCTCAACGCTAGTTTGTAAAATACAATAAGCATTTAATAACCCATATGCCGTGCAGAATTTATATAGCAGTGTAAGGCTAACCAAAGGGCCTGCATGTAGTATTTTGTTGTTAGCTTCTAAATAAACGCTTCTTGTTTTGTTAATTACAGGTCGGGGTCGATTTTACAGGCTCAAATGGGGACCCTCGTTCACCAGATTCCCTACATCATATCAGTCCTAATGGACTTAATGAATACTTGATGGCAATCTGGTCTGTTGGAATGGTCGTTCAAGACTATGATTCGTAATGCACTGCTTCTTATTTCATTGTGTCATTTTGATCTCTTTCAGTCTGTTTTATTTCTCTTTTAACATTTCAAGTAGAACAAGACCGGGAAAACATCTGTGTATTATTATCTATATGCCCAAATATACATTGGGCATTCCAGATGTTATTTCTCAATTATATATTTTTTAAGAGGCTGGTGGAAGGGTAGCAGGCCCTTCTCAGCACAGGAGATAAACCAAGCTTGAAAAAAACTAGCAGAACAAATGCAAAGAAGTGGTCAGGTGAACCCAAAGTTAGGTTTAAAAGCCTGTAGATTGTTGAGGATGAGAAGACAGGGAGGTAAGGGGTTTTACAGTGGTAAGGTTTTAAGAAACATTTTGTTACAGTGGAACTTAATGGATTAGGTTTTGATTACTGCACGGTGAAGAGCGACTGCATGGCTTATTTACTGCTTGGGAGGTGCTGGAGAGGGGATCGTATGTATGTATTGGTTTAATGTTTCCATTGCCTATTCAATCTTCTGGAAATACTGTGCACCATGAACCTGTGAACCTGTGTCTCAATTTTTACAATTGGACTGATTATTAACATTCATTTATAGTGGAATTGTGGTACATCTTCAGCTTCCTCCACTGACTGGCTGGCTTTCTGTGCATCATGCACAGCAGTGTGGAGAGAGCGATGAGTTTTCCAGTTGGGATTCTGGTGTATAGTGAGCATGTACAGTGCGCAGGAAGTAACGTCATGATATTTCTGTACATGCCTGGCATTATGTAAGTAAATCTGATTATTTCTTTACAGAGATAAATTGTTCCCAGCATTTGGATTTGGTGCACAGATACCCCCTTCCTGGCAGGTAAATATAGATCACTTTTATATGAAAACTATTTATTCAAGTTTCACATTTTATTCACAAATCATGCTATACAGTAGTATTTTTCCTATAGGTTTCTCATGAATTTCCACTTAACTTCAACCCAGCCAGCCCATTCTGTTCAGGTATGGAGTTGTATTTTTTTTATTAACCAGAAAGTTATTGTAACCAGAAACCAGTCCTTGTCAAACTCTACTGGCTCCCAATTACTGAACAGATCGATTTCAAGATCCTCTCACTTGTTTGAAATCCCTTCATGCCCTCGTACCTCCCTGCTTATCTGCTCTGTTTACCCCCCAATCCACCACCCGCTGCCTCCGCTCGGCCGACTCCGACCTCGTGTTTATCCCTCGTCCCCTCCGCACCACCATCGGTGGCCATGCCTTCAACCACTGTGCCCCAAAACTCTGCAACTCCCTCCCTCAATCGCTCCACCTTGCCCCCTCCCTCCCCAATTTCAAATCTCTCCTTTTTTTTGATCGTGCTTACGGTCACCTCCCTCCTCCCTCTCCCCCCCGGCTAGTTGTCAGACTCCGCCACTGTAAGCGCTGCGAGACGGCGTCCGGGGTGTAGCGTGCTATATATATGCAGTTGTTGTTCAGTGGAAAGAGAAAATATGGTTGAAACTAATTTTTTTCAGAGATTCTAAGCAGCACATGGGGCTCTTCATGTTCGTGTTACATATGTTACAAAGATGTTGTCATGTTGAGTTATTCACACCCAACATAATTTGTTTTGTTCAAAACTGTTCAGCATGTGCTCTACCGTGACATACAATATCCTCACACACCATTCCCTCACACAGAACAATCTTGATTTGAGCCCTCTTTCTTTCCCCTTCCCTGGATGGAGTATTTCTGAACCCAACAAAATTGAACCACCTGCACAATACTCATTCAATCCCAAACCTCACAATACATCCTATAAACGCCTTTAGATGCCCTAGTAACGTAAAAGGCCCTATATCAAATGCAAAAATTATAACTGTCCTCTTGTTCTTCCCAAGCTTTGAATATATCTGACACTTTCTTCCTTCTTCCTCATCAATGTGGTGAGAGAGGGGGGGGTGGGGAGAGAGAGATGACAAAAGGACTTGCATCTTTATATAAAGCCTCACATCCCTCACCCTGTGCTCTTTGGCATTGCAAAGGTCATAACAAAACAAAAATACCCTAGCAGTCAAGAACCATACACCAGCAGTCCTCAACTTTACAATACAGAGTCCTCAACTTTATGGACTTTACCACTAAGAATTGCAGAAGGGAATTCCCATCAAAGGCAAAGGGCATACGAATAATAAATGAGTTTAACACGTTGTGACTGGTGTCTGTATTCTTTAGGTGTGCAAGGGATTGTGGATGCCTACCGCAACTGTCTGCCTCAAGTCAAGCTATATGGGCCCACAAACTTCTCTCCCATAATAAACCATGTGGCTGGATTTGGAGCTGCAGCAGCACAGCAGCCAACAGCTTCGGTAAGTTCCCACATGTGCACTTGCTCCAGCCAACTTGCAACCAGCAATGAGAATGGCACTGAAAGTGACTAAAAGCAGGTTACCAGTCCACGTTCTGATTCAGGGACATTGTTTGGCCAGAGTAGAAAGAGCTTTATCTAATCTGGAAGTACTTGAAAGTTGGCATGAGTCATGAGAAATTCCATCTGGGTCTAGATTTAATTTGTAACCTTTCAGAAGGTCTCGAGTTTGTCAAATTCTTAAATGCCTCCTTAATTTTGAAATTGATTTTCTGTAAGTTACTTAAACAATTGCAGAAAACTGAGTTCAAAGGTAAGATTGAATTCAACAATTTGCTCAGTTCTGAAATGCTAATTTAGTAAATGCAGATCCTGGCACCATTGGGTACCAAGAAAGGAAAAAGTGTTATTTTTCAATATAAATATCTTTCACTTTCGTGAGCAGGCAATCCATTGAAGGGTAAAGTGGTTTGTATATATCTACTGCTTGTTATATAGTTAGAGATGAATTTATCTAAATTTTGAGTGGACAGTGGATGTATGTAAAATGTATGGGTATCTTTTACAATTTGAACACCTGGAGAACTTGACGATATATTTAATCACTGAAAAGCATCTGCGTTTTACATTTCTTAATACTTGTAGTTAAAGATGAAATTTACAGTGAATCACTTTGTATGCACAAATTATAACAGAACCAAGAATATCAAACTAAAAGGTTTCAAGATATTTGTAAGTTGTTTTATACTGAGGGTAAGTGAAAATCCTTCCACCTGTAAATTGATTTCTTCCTGCTCTTCATCATAAAACAAGGAAATTAGGAAAATTCTCCTCATGTGCTACCGATATCTGTTTCTGAAATATATGCTACCAATACATGCAAATTCACTGCTTGTCAGCCTCCCCAAGTCCTCCCTCCACAGGCTGCAGGTCATCCAGAACTCTGCAGCCCGTGTTCTCTCCCGCACTAGGCTCTGCGATCCTATCACCCCCATCCTTGCCCAACTTCACTGGCTTCCAATCACACAGAAGATACAGTTCAAGATCCTGGTCCTCACCTTCAAAGCCCTCCATGGTCTTGCTCCCCCCTATCTCTGCGATCTCCTAACCCCCTACCACCCTGTTCGCTTCCTCCGCTCAGCGGGCTCCGGCCTGCTTCACATCCCCCGCTTTGCTCGCTCCACTATTGGCAGGCGGGCCTTCTGCCACTCTGCACCCACCCTCTGGAGCTCCATCCCGCAGTCCCTTCATCTCGACCCCTCCCTCGCCACCTTCAAGACCCACCTCAAGACCCTCCTCTTCGACTGTGCTTTCGATCTCCCGATTCCCCCACTGCCCTCCAACCTCCCCCACCCCGACCCTCAGCTGAGATCCGTAACTCTGTCTGTCCAGCGCCTTGGGATGTCCTCCTGACGTGAAAGGAGCTACACAAATGTAATTTTATTGTTGTTATTGTTTCTTTTCATCCAATGAACCAACAAGAACTTTCCCCATAGCTTTGCAGCTATTTTCTTCTCAAGTAAATATCCAATTTCCTTTTGAAAGTTATTATTGAATCGGCTTCAATCACTCTTTCAGGCAGTGCATTCCAGATTGTAAGAACTAGATTCCATTTGGTAAAATATGTTGTCCAATTCACTTTTGAATCTCACTGCTCAGTCGGGCATAAAAGGCTTTTGCGTATATTAAGAAGTTGCACTTGCAGGTGTATCTGATAACTTCAGAATGAGATAAGATTTGCACAGGATTGATGATGAGTGTGATGAGATCATCTTATTTTAAAACAGCAATATTACATCCTGCTGATCATCACGGACGGAGTGATAACTGATTTAGACGATACACGACGTGCCATAGTCAACGCTTCCAAATTGCCAATGTCCATCATCATCATTGGTGTTGGTGGGGCTGATTTCAGTGCCATGGAGTTCCTGGATGGTGATGATGGTGTTCTTCGATCCCCCACCGGAGAAATGGCCATCCGAGATATCGTCCAGTTTGTGCCTTTCAGGAAGTTTCAAAATGTAAGTACGGTACAGACGCGTTTCATTATGACTTATCCCAATGTCTCTTTATAACTGTCAACAGCTTCTCCTTCTACCCCCGCACCATCACATGCGGTATTCTTCAGAGCTCTATCCTCACTCCTCTCCTCTTTAATATTTACATGCTCCCACTCGGCAATGTCATCGCAGACATGAGGTTAACTTCCACATGTACGTTCAACTCTATTTCTGTGCCTCAAATCTCAATTTCAGGATCACTGCTGTACTGACCGATTGCCAGTTGAATGTTGATAATACATAGGGCTTTCCTACTTGGCTTCCACCAGAGCCTGTTACCTCAGGCGCTGACAATATCAGTATATATTAATGCACCTCTCAGAGCCAGTGTGAAACCTCCATGTCTTGTTCAACTGACCTTTAAGCCCCACATCGATATCTTGACCCGTTCAACTTTTCACCACCTCTGCAACATTGCCTGCCTCTACCACTACTTCTCCCTTCAGGTTGCTTGGATCACGTCTAGGCTTGCCTATGCCAAGTCTCTCCTTGCCGGAATTCCCAAGCCTTCCCTTCACAAATCATTCAGAGCTCTACAGCTTGTGTACTTTCCCACACGCTACTCCCCTTGGCCCCCACCCCTCCCGAAGGCAATCTCCAGCTCGGATGCAAACCCACAACAGTCCAGTGCCTTAGGACGTCCTCGTGATGTGAATGGCACTATGCAAATGCAAGTTGTTGTTGTTGCTAGTTTGGTACATCTCAGTGGAGTCCTGTAGCTCAGTGATTAGAGCACTTGCCTCACAAGCGAGAGATCTGGGTTCTATTCCTGGCAGGGCGAAATGTTGAACAAGTTTCCTTACTCCACATGCCTCTTTTTACCTAGCAGTAAGTAGGTTGTTAGTCGATTGGTGGATTGGTTTTCCGGGGATAATAATTCCTAAAAAAGATAATAATTTGGTCACTCAATCCACGACTGTTTGTGGGACACTGCTGAGCGCAATGGGCTGTCGCGTTTCGCCCAGAAATATACAGTCATTTCACTGTACAGTATATTCTGTGAAGCGCTTTGAGACATCTAGAAGATGTGAAAAGCACTATATCAACTGCGAGGCTTATTATTATCTCCTCTGTATTGTACTGAATTGACCAAATGATTGCAGTACTGAGGACACAAATCTTTTGCTTAACCTACAGCAAATATTATTTGAGTTGCAAGACTTTGACGTAAGTGAGGCTGAGGTTCTGGATAGGCTGAAGGATTTATAAACCAAGAAGTCCACCAGGATGGAAGAATTATATCCTCAGGGATTTGGGGAGAAGAGGTAGGAGGTTTATGCAGCAGTGACAGAAATTATGAAAGAGTTCCTCACCAATGGTGGAACCAACGGATTGAAGCAAACAAACATGGTTCTCATTTTCAAAAGTATTATTCTGGCTTCACTTTCGCAATCCAATTTAAAATGTTGTATACCTTTAAAAGGCTTCCTCTGAGACGTCTCCTTTCAAAACTGAAGAGCCCGAGCTTGTCTAATTGGTATTCGTTCCTCACTTGTTTAACATTGGGGATCATCCTTGTTGTGTTCCTCTGCACTGCCTTTAGGGCCTGGGAAATCCGCTTCTGTTGTGTCAACCAGTTCTGTACTCACTCTGGAACTCCAACCCACAGTCTGTTCGTCTCGCGTCCTCCCTTGCCTCCTTCAAGGCTGGTCCCAAGACCCTCCTTTTTGATAGTGCCTTCAGTCGCCCTCCCACCTCTCTGCCTTTCCTCACCCCTAAACCACCCCTCCCCCATGCTCGGGTCCTGACCCCTGACTGTCCAGCAGCTTGGGACGTCCTCTCGACGTGAAAGGAGCTCTATAAATGTAATTTTATTGTTGTTGTTGTTGTATTCAGTACTCAAGGTGTGACGAGATAGCTTGAATGTGGTTTCTGGGGACCTGAACTCAACTGGCAATATAGGCCAGTATCCAATTTACATGTTTAGCTGCCTCACATTGTTTTGATATGGTGCGAGATTAATTAGCTAACGTCCCGAGATCTCTTTCAGCTTCTCCTTTGGCAAGTTTGATCTCAATGGTAGAGTACATGTGTTACCTATTTTTCTTTCCTATATGCATTTATCTATAGGTTTTGAAACAGTGAGGTCTGAATGCTTCCTGTTGTTGTCAGTCTCTGCTGATGTTTGATGTCCATGTACATATTTGCGTTTCACAATAACAAAGTTGCATTTCATTCCACAGGCACCTAAAGAAGCTCTTGCACAAAGTGTATTGGCTGAATTGCCTCAGCAAGTGGTGTCCTACTTCAACACACGTAAACTGCGTCCTCCTAATGAGACCCCCAATGAGACCTGTGATTGAGATCTGGTTACAAAGTCTAACTTCAGTGAATTGTTACATAAATCTATTCAGTGGAACGCAGAGACTTGCCAAAGCTGTCAGTGTCAGCCACTCTATTGTTTTATTATGATGTTCACAGTGTATTTAGATATAGGTTCATTATATATGTTTTGAACACTTTTGAATCTATATTTGTTAACCTATCAATTTTTTTAAAGTAATGCAATCTATTAAAAGGAATACAACAACAACAACGAGATTACATTTGTATAGCGCCTTTCACGTTGGGAGGACGTCCCAAGGCGCTGGGAATAATGAAACTGGATGAGATAAAAACAATTCTGTGTAATTTTGTTGCTATTTAGTTGCCATTTATGTAAATTGATTTTATTTTGCTTCTAACATCTTATTTTAAATGTTTTGATTTATGTCCAAATCTTTATAATTTTATACAAGAACATAGTTTATTTTTGGAATTTTAAACTTGAGGCCAAATAATTCAATCCTAGTATTAATTCATAGATTCATAAATAACACCACAAATTACATTGTAAAAGAAGTAGCCAATAGTAAGCAGACAGTAAATGAACTGATAAAATAAATAGCGAGCTGCCTTTTATTCTTGTTTTCTTTACAATTGAAATGGTCATTATATTCAATGTATTACAATATTACAATAATGTATTGTTCACTATATTCAATGTGCGTGTCAGTCTGGCAGACAGTGTGTCACTCGCCGTTGAGGTAGAAGGTTTTGGGTTCAAGCCCCGTGTCAGGACTTCGAATCCCATAGTCTAACCTGACACTCCAATGCAGTGCTGGGGATGTGTGGCATTGTCTGATGTGCCATCTTTCAGATGAGATGTTAAACTGAGGTCCCATCTGCCTGTTCTCTGGATGTTAAAGATTCCATGGCACTATTCGAAAAGAGAAGAGAGCTTCTCCCCGTGTCCTGGCCAACAACCTCCCAAATACAATTGGTCACTCACTCCATTTTTGTTTGTGGCGCATTGCTGTGTGCAACTAGCTACTGTATTTCGCCCACAGAATATAGTCAATTCACTTTATATTATATCCTGTGAAGCGTTTGGGGAATTCTCAACGACGGGATAAGGTGCTATATCACATGTAAGAATTATTATTACTATTAATTACATGTAAAGTTAATGTTCAGATAAATACTTTTGTTAACATAATCCATCTGCTTTAGTCATCAGCAAAATAAAACCAGAAATATTTTATTCACAGATTTAACTCTATAATTCACATCTTTTAAAAGACACAATGGGCATCTGGTTGGGAAGGGCAGTAGGAGACATAGAAAGGGATGCAGACTTAACTGACTAATAGTCCAAGGGGCAGAATGGTTCATGGTATAATATGAAGGTAGGTTAACTAGTAGAGATACATAAATATCCTGAAGGTTTTGCTCCGATATCTTTTCAGATCAGGCTACATCAATGCTGAACTTTACCATAGAAGTTGGAGTCCAAGGTGGGCTTTAGTGGAGGGAGGGGGCCTGATGGGCGAATTAAACCCATTTATAATTCTTACTGCAATAGAAACAATGTTAACACCTCCTACAATCCATTTTGTTGTGGAAGTGGTCTCAGTTTTTAATAACGTTTATATAGTTTATCTGATGTTTACTACAAAATTATAACCAGGACGCTAAACAAATTCTCCAAAGCATTCTTTAACAGGTCAACCAATTGAGATGCTTTTATTTACCTCAATTATATCTAATCCTTCGCTTTGTTTTCAGAACACTTTCATGTGATGATTTGACGAAAGGGTAGAACACCTTTAGTAACAATCCTGTGTAACATATGGGACCGTATTGAAGGATGGAAGCACATTGTTTATAATATTTACCTAGAGTTCTCTGTAGGTTTCTTTTACAGATATGGGCAATAGCCAATTTTTATTACCACAATTTTGTAAGTATTTAGTAATTTCGTAACCATGAGTTACTAAATGCTTATAAGCAAGGAAGAGAATCAAAGGGCAAGGAAGTGAGCAGGAGAGTGGAATTAGATTGGCTCATGTGGAGAAAAACACAAGTGCAGAGTTGGTGGGTTAAGTGGCCTGTTTCTGTGCTGCAACATGCTATGGCTAAGTCTTTGTCTGGGTAAATGATGGGTAATGTGGCTGACGCAAACATAAGGCTATATTTGTACATGTTTGGAATATTTTATCAGAAATGAAATTAATGAGATGAGAAATGCTTTTTGCACTTATAGTATATTTTGCTATTTTAATGTATGTGTAGCTCATTAGTTCCAGCTCCCTCTGTGTGTCAGCCTCATTCTGCGAATTGCTCACTTTGCTGATATCTGGTGAGTCTGTGCTGAAAGCAATGGTTTGTCTTTGTTTTGTATTGTATTATGCAAAAAATAAAATAAATTTGGTTCGACATTCATTCAATTCTTGTTTTGTCTTGTGATAGATGTAAATTGTGTAATTTAAGTGCTATGTTTCAATTGGAAGTTTTAGATGCCCATCAACTTGGTTCTGCAATATATTTGTGCAGCATATAACACACACCTGTATTTGAATCCAATTCCTGCTCTTTGAGTCTCCTAGATGCTGATCCCAGATATGTTTTTAGAGTATGGCTGAGCAGAGGAGAGATGTTGAACCAAAATAGCAGAGGTTGCAACATCAGTTATACAGTGCCTTCTGGCTAAATCCTGAGAAGTAGATCTTAAAGGATGTGGGAAAAAGATGATTAATTAAAAATTATGATTTATTAAAAAATGCACATACATGGCGCACACACAAGGCTGAATGGACTCCCTTGGCTGACCGTTCTGCAAAGATGTGCAGCCCATTGCAGCAAATTGGCTACAAGCGTTTCACCCACAAAATATTCAGTCAACTCACATTACAGTATGTTATGCGAAGCTCTTTGAGACGTCTCAAATGCAAGGATTATTATTAATTGGGAAACTATCAGGCCAAACAAAATCAACAAATGCAAGTTTAAGGAATAAAGTTTTGTTGTATCAGAATAAATTACTTTAATAGGCTTTGATAGTCACTTTAATAGAATAATACGGGATGGGTGAGAATGGGCTAACCTGGCCAAAGAAAACTTTCTATTACGTGGGATTTTACAATTGCTCAAAGGAAGCTCCTAAAGGTGAATTTAAGAGAACAAAAGAATAACATTGATCCCATTTACTTGGGATCAATGTTATTGATGTACTAAATTATGAGTGTTTCGCTGATACCCAGTAATGAAATATTTACTGTTAGTGGCCTGCAAAGTAGCAGATCGATGGAGTGAATTTGGTAGTATAACTTAGTGCATTTATGTGATGATCGGAACTTTATTTGATGGATAGGTGTGCCATGTAAAAACAGGATGGGTACAAAGCGGAGTTTGGCAGGTGAAAGGTACGATGCGCTTTTATTGGAATATTTAGAATATAGAGAGGCAATCCTTTCCATTGGATCCAGTAAAACCCTGGTACAGTTTTCGGTCACAGCGATATCCCGATGCTTCATCTATATGGAATTTTGCCAGCTGCTGTACATATGGGGAATACAACAATAGCAACAAAATCACATTTGTATATAACCTTTCACGTCCAGAGGACGTTCCAAGGCACTGGACATACAAAGTTATGGACCCGAGCTGGCAGTCGGGGTGGAGGAGGGCAGGGGGGGAAGCAGGGAAATCGAAAGAGCGGTCAAAAAGGGTCTTGAGGTGGGTCTTGAAGATGGCGAGGGAGGGGACGAGAGGTCGGAGGTAGGGGGAGCAAGACCATGGAGGGCTTTGAAGGTGAGGACCAGGATCTTGAACTGTATCCTCTGTGTGATGGGAAGCCAGGGGAGTTGGGCAAGGATGGGGGTGATAGGGTCGTGGAGCCTAGTGCGGGAGAGGACACGGGCTGCAGAGTTCTGGATGATCTGCAGCCTATGGAGGGAGGAGTTGGCAAGGCTGACAAGCAGTGAGTTTGCATAGTTGAGCCTCGATGTAATGAAAGTGCGTATGAGAGTTTTGGCGGCCTGCGGTGTGAGACAGTGCCAGAGCCGGGTGATGTTGCGGCAGTGGAGGAAGGCAGAAGCGTTCACGGTGCAGATGTGGGGTTGAAAGGATAGTTGAGCGTCAAACAAGACGCCAAGGTTCCGGACTGGCTTAGTGAGGTGAAGTGTGTATCCATGGATGGTGATGCTGTCAGTGCCTGTAGTGTGGAGGCGCTGACGGGAGCCAATCAGGAGAGCCTCGGTCTTGTTGACGTTCAACTGAAGAAAGTTAGCTCTCATCCAGGACTTGGTGTCTGACATTCTGTCAGCACAGTAGTGGTTCTGGAGTTAAGGGAGGAGGCAGAGAGGTATAGTTGGGTGTCATCCGCATACATGTGGAAGTTGACCACGTCTGTGGATGATGTCACCAAGAGGGAGCATATAGATATTGAAGACGAGGGAGAGGACCAAGGACAGAGCCCTGAGGAACGCTGCACAAGACGTGTGCAGTATCAAACAAATGGCAGGACATGGACACAGGTGTATTTTCACTTCTCCTGGGTATGCCCTTCTACCTTTGTATCCCAGCGATATCTTCAGGATACCGCAATGCTTCACATAATTCTTACTGTGAAGTGTAGTGACTGTATTTTTGCAAGCAAACGGTGGATTGTCGGGGATGTATTTGTGGTATGAGCAGGACGCATTGCTAATGTCTATTTTGGCGCACTGGACATGTCGTGCGCAGTAAGTGTCACTTGCTCTCTGCCCTACAAATCCTGCCAAGACTGGCTGGGATATCACCAGCATCGCCTTGGAATACTGCAGACCCACCTGGTTACCAAAACTGCCGCAAAGAGTTGACTCAATTTCCATATTCCATTGCCAGCACATCACTTTGGAGGCAGCTGAGTCCCAAAGAGATTCTGCGTTATCTCCTGACATATATATAGATATATTAAATAAAAATCACTCAATTCGTGACTATTTGTGGGACACACAGTGTGGAAGTGGCTGCCGCATTCTCCCACAAAATAGTCAATTCACTTTACAGTACATACTGTGAAGTGCTTTGAGACGCCTGAACAACAACAAAATTACATTTATAGAGCGCCTTTCACATCGGGAGGACGTCCCAAGGCGCTGTATTAAATGCAAAGCTTGTTATTATTATTTCCTTCCCTTCTCCCCTCGGCTGGTCACAGCTTGGTCAGTGGGCATGTGGCCAGTGCTGGGCTGAGCCCTGTGACTTGCAGTGTTTGGAGAAGAGCCCGGGGAGTGGCTGTGGGAGGGCAGGGCTGAGCAGGGGTGGGCTGGGGAGGGCTGAGCAGGGGAGGGCTGAGCAGGGGAGGGCAGGGCTGAGCAGGGCTGGGGAGGGCTGAGCAGGGCTGGGGAGGGGAGGGCTGAGAAGGGCTGGGCAGGGCTGGGAAGGGGAGGGCTGACCAGGGCTGGGGAGGGGAGGGCTGACCAGGGCTGGGGAGGGGAGGGGGGCTGAGCAGGGCTGGGGAGGGCAGGGGAGGGCTGAGCAGGGCTGGGGAGGGGAGGGCTGGGGAGGGCTGGGGAGGGCTGAGCAGGGCTGGGGAGGGCTGAGCAGGGCTGGGGAGGGGAGGGCTGACCAGGGCTGGGGAGGGGAGGGGAGGGGAGGGCTGAGCAGGGCTGGGGAGGGGAGGGCTGACCAGGGCTGGGGAGGGGAGGGCTGACCAGGGCTGGGGAGGGGAGGG